CCCTGGGCCTCGCCTCTCCATTTCTGATAAGCTGCATGATTCTCGTTTTCCTTTACCTTGCGTGCACTCCCTCTGATGTGCCCATGGCTGCTCTGCTGCCACTGTGTCTTGCAAGTCCCGGTGTGCGGAGGCATTCATCCTCACCTTTTGTTGCCCACGTGCTTGTGCCGCCATGCTACCAGGTCCACGAGACAAAGGGCGCTGATGTGATCTGCTTTGTTAAGAACAGTGCCACGCTGGCGGGCACTGTGTTCACGGCCCACGTGGCACAGGTTGGTCATCTCGCCTATAGCGTTGCTGCACATCCCCATCCGATCCCCATTTCATTCCCGTCCCTTCCCGCGTCCCCATCACATTTCCTCGTGCTTTGCTTCAGTTTACAGGATTCGTAGTACTTCTCCTACTTGCATCCTCTCCACCATCCTCTCTCCCTTCTACCCACTCCACACCTTTCCGCGCTTCCTCCAGCCTCTCTCTCCTCCCTCACTCCGTTCCCTAGTTGTCCTCTCGTCTCCACGCCCCTCATGTCACCCGTGTTGTTCCCCCATCACCCGCACCCCTGGGCGGCACAGGTGCGCATAGACCTGCCGACGCTGACGGAGGAGGACAAGCGGCTGATTGCCACGTGGGGGCAGCGCAACAGCATCGACATCATCTCCCTCTCCTTCACACGCCATGCAGACGACGTCCGCCAGGTGCTCTGCTGCTGCTGCTTCAGGTGCTTCTTTTAAGTGCTGTCTTGGATGATGCCTCACATGCTGCCTCAGGTGCTACTTCAGGTGCTGCCTCAGGTGATACCTCAGGTGCTGTCGGGTTATCTTGAGTGCTGCCTCGGATGCTGTCTCAGGTGCTGCATCATTCTCTGTCATGGTGCTGTCGCAGGTCCCCCTTGCGTGCACGACTTTGACACTGTCCTTTCCCCGAGCGCTGCTGTCGAAGCTGGGCGACCTCTCTCAGACGCAGATCTATGCCAAGATTGAAAACATGGAGGTCAGCTGCACCCACCATCCCATCCCTGCTAATTCCCATTTCTCACTCGCCCTCGCTCTCTCCCATGCCATCCCACAGCCCCCCCACATTTCACCCTTTGGTTTGTGTTTACGGCTGATACTCTTGTTGCTCGTTCACTGTGTCTCGGTGCTGGGTGCACGGTTGTGTTGTGTGGTACTGGGTGCACGGTTGTGTTGTGTGTGAGCAGGGATTGAAGCACTTTGACGAGATCCTTCAGGAGGCAGACGGCATCATCCTCTCACGAGGCGATCTGGGCATTGACCTCCCAGCAGAGAAGGTGGGTGCAGGACTCCTGTCACGGCCTCAAGAGCAGCGCACACTAACGTGGCTTCTCACCCCCTTGATCACAGTAACAATCAGAGTGCAGCACCAGCACTCCTGCCCTCGACACACCTACCTTCACCACCCATACCATTGTCTCTTCAACCCTCAGCTCCCCGAATTGGTAATTGGTCTCTACAGCATTTTCCCGCTAATCACGTATGGTTATTGCGTGTGCCACGGCGCCACACCCTGCCTGTTCTGGTTCCTGTGGTGCGGTGGAGCACAGGTGTTTCTGTTTCAGAAGGCAGCCATCTTCAAGTGCAACATGGCGGGCAAGCCGTCCATCATCACGCGTGTTGTCGACACCATGACAGACACGCCGCGCCCCACCAGAGCCGAGGCCACCGACGTTGCCAACGCCGTGCTCGATGGTCCGTGCACCCATGATGCACCCCGCACTTCAGTATGCCGACAGAAAGTGGAATAGTGGCCACAAGCTGCTGCCGTGCGCACCTGTTCTTTTGTTTTCTGCTGGAACTTGTGATTTTTGTAGGACTTGTGTTGGTCTCCCCCACACACCACGTTTGTGGTTTTGCTGTTGTGCTGTGTGCGGTGTGATGTGCGTTGCAGGCACGCACACGGTGCTTCTGGGAGCGGAGACGCTGCGAGGGCTGTACCCCGTGGAGACCGTCATGACCATTCGCAAGATCTGCGCTGAGGTACCGTGTTGTGCTGCCATGCCATGCTGCACGGTGCTTTCTCTCGCTGTCCTCTCACCACACCACTTTCTCAGGCGCACACTCATGCACTGTCAACCTTCCTCATATACCCCCTTTTCCCGCGCATGCATGGGCCAGGCAGAGAAGGTGTACAACCAGCAGCTCTACTTCAAGAAGACGGTCAAATACGTGGGCGAGCCCATGACCCACATCGAATCCATCTGCTCCTCTGCGGTATGCGCACGCCCTCCTTCACCTTGTTGCCAAGCGCACTCACAAGCGCACTCACATGTATGTGCGTGTGCTTGTCGTCGCACCTCAGACCTGTGGCGTGTGCTGGGTCCCAACGTAACTCGCCCTGTTTGGACTGCTGCTGCTGCTGAAAATGGCCCTCTCCATGTTTCACCCGCTCGCTGGAGTCGTGTCGTGTGGTTTTGCCCCATTGGTTTTGTGTTGCTGGTCCCACCAGGTGCGTGCGGCAGAGAAGGTGCGCGCGTCAACCATCGTGGTCTTCACGTCGTCAGGCCGCACAGCTAGGTCAGCCCTGCACTCCAGTGTGCTGCCCCACACGCACCAGCCAGCCATGCGCACTGCATCATGTATCACACCATACCACTGCCCTGTCATGCACTTGCTCGAGTTCCTAGCTGGCGGTCAGAATGCATTCCTTCATAACACTCGCACCTTCGCACCCTCGCATGGCCTGTGGATTGGTGAGTACCTGTGGAGTTTTGACTCGGCACTGTGCTGGGTGCATGGCAGGCTGGTGGCCAAGTACAAGCCCACGATGCCCACGCTGGTGGTGGTGGTGCCGCGCCTCAGCACCAACCAGCTCAAGTGGAGCTTCACTGGAGCCTTCCAGGCCCGCCAGTGCCTCGCCATTCGAGGCCTCTTCCCCATGCTCGCCGACCCACGCAACCCGGTAAACCCCACTACACATGTTCCAATCCAACCTCCTTTTCCTGCAGCGTTTCCTCTTCCATGCAAAACCTTCCTGCTCCAGTTCCCCCGTTTCTATTATTCTCCTCTTCTCCCTCGACGTCCTTACCCAGCTGCATGATTTCTCTTCCCACCACCTGTGTGGTGCCGTGCATGGGTGTGGCAGTCGGCGAGCAACATCACGACGAACGAGACGGTGCTGAAGATGGCGATGGAGAAGGGCAGGGAGATGGGTCTTATGCGCGCCCATGACCGCGTCGTCGTCGTGCAAAAGCTCGGAGACTCCTTTGTTGTTAAGATCCTTGAGATTGGCACCTAACCATGACACTGCTTAGGTATCGCTCTAGCCTTGCCTTCTCGTACCCATCCCTTGTAACCAGTATTTTCTTAAGTCTTATGAGAAGCTGGGCCGGTTCCAGCGTCTTCCCTCCATTATTAGTACGGTTCGTAAGATATTTCAAAGAATAAAGGTAAAGAAATACCTCTTATTGTGAATGTAAGGTTAGAGATATTTGTGAATGTACAACACACAAAAAATGCCTCTTATCAGGTAAGACCTAAAAGACATTATCAGTCAATAATAAGTTGTCTATTCTGCATCAATATGTATTGCAATTTTGAGAAACATATGGGTCTGTACTTGTTAGCGACGGTTTACCTTATACGGTAAAGTGATGTTGCTGCTTTTGCTCTCTGTTCAGCCATTGTGGGGATCTGTTGCTGCGATGTGAGTGGCGCGAAACCCCATACATCAGGGCAACGGTCGCATATGTCGCCCAGACCTATGTACACACGAAACACCCAACACTGCATTCTCACACCCATTCCAGCTAGTGAGGAAAACTGAGAAGTTTTTTGGGATCTTGTTCGAGATTAGTATCAGGTCAACATGTTCTTAGTCGACTGGTTCTATAGCGTTCTAGCTACGCTAGGTCTATGGCAGAAAGAGGCGAAAATATTGTTTTTGGGGTTAGATAATGCCGGAAAGACCACCTTGCTGCATATGTTGAAGGATGAGGTGAGTTAGTGCAGCTGCTTGATTTTAATGGTGATAACGGGAGAAGTTTCTCAATGACGTTTGATCCATTTTCTGTTTGTATGCTAAGAAGGTGATCTCTCCATGCTGGTTTTGTCGATGCAGAGACTAGCTCAGCATCAGCCAACACAGCATCCGACATCGGAAGAGCTGAGCATCGGAAAGATCAAGTTCAAGGCGTTTGATCTTGGTGGTCATCAGATAGCCCGACGCGTTTGGAAGGACTATTACGCGAAGGTCAGTGGATACACAGCTATCTATTGTTACTCGTGTTCACATGTAGTCTCCCTGGTAGTCTTGAACGATTAGTTTCTGTCTTCCCTGCAGGTGGATGCCATAGTGTACCTTGTCGACGCTGCTGATAAGGAGAGATTCATCGAGTCGAAGAAGGAACTCGATGGACTACTTTCAGACGACTCTCTGGCGCTCGTTCCGTTTCTGATCTTGGGAAACAAAATCGACATTCCAACTGCCGCATCCGAAGATGAGCTTCGTTATTCTCTGGGCCTGACTAACTACACGACAGGGAAGGGCAAGGTAAATTTGGCAGAGTCCAACATCAGACCGATTGAAGTCTTCATGTGCAGTGTGGTGCGTAAGATGGGATATGGTGAGGGCATTAAGTGGCTTTCGCAGTACATCAAGTAGATTTCCCCCTAAGGATGTTAAAGAGGGGGGCCTTACAAGGATGACCTCTCTTTGTAGGAGGGGCGTGGGCTCATCCAGTACTTCTTACTTTCTGTAGGCAAGTAGAGAGGTTTCACTGTTGTCAACCCTTGTCATCCTGCCATTATTGGTCAGAGACATGCCATCATGCCATGCAATCCATGGTCCTTCAGTCGTCATTCCCCTGTTGTAGTCAACGTTGCTAGCATATGAATTGTATGAATAGAACGGAATTTCATTTCGCTTTGCAGCATGTTCTCCTGAAGCAGTGGTTGCCGTATAACTGAAATCCGTTCACTTCCTAAACTATAATCAATCTGCAAGTCTACGGATGACAACAAACCAAGTACGGTACAGTTACCATATCATGCTGGCACCGATGAGACTGAAGGAATCCCCATAGAGTGGCGTTTCGTGATGAACCTGGTGGGCAAGTAGGGTAGTAGGGAGCACACAGGACACTTGCACAACCCATGTGACGATCCACCAATCACAAGTGCTGCTGTGATAGAGTGAACACAACTTGCATGACCTTCTTGAGAGCCAGACAGCAATACGGTACCTGAAAAAGTCACGCCAGAGGAGCTCGAAGACCAGCCAGTCCATGCTCGGTTCCTTGGCAGCTGTGGCAGTGGCTGCCTTGGGTCCAGACAACCTGAAGGAGGTACGCAGGGATGACAGCACTTGAAACCTCGTGAAGCAGTTGAACTCAAGAAACTACACCCATCCCTCCCATCCAGAGCAATGCCTGCCACATACATGCCCATTTCCCCTCAGTCTGTCCATGCACACACCTGGCCTTGGCTGCTGGCTTGCTTGCGAGTTGGTGCGCGCGAGACCCCTCAAGCTGCAGCACTTGGTGGAAGACGCGGCGAGGGGACAGGCACCCCATGGCGAGCCACGGAGAGATCTTGCATGAGAAGCTCGCCCCGTACTGGCTGCTGCTGGGGCCCATGGCCTTGGAACCAGTGGCAGCAGACCTGGACTCCGCAACAAAGCCCGAGAGTTTGCGCAATGCTTCCGCCTCCCCTCCCTGCATTGACGTCATGTGAGCGTTCTGGTACAAGCACAGACACAGCAAGGCTGTCCGTGAGTGTTGATAGTCAGTAAGGAGAGAAGACGGAAGGAAAGGAAGTGGCGAGGAAGAGGAAAGTTGACATGCTGGAACCTCAATGGAGTGGCAGCCTTAGGAGTTACCTGAGTGCGAGGGTGAATGGCAGAGAGACCAAGGGCCTCGAGAGAGGGAATCTCCCCCGGCTGCACGTTGCCCATGACAGGCATGGGCTTGAGGTACTCCGGTGCTTCCACCATGTCCCGCACCTGCACCGCACCCATAGCACCACCCACCACAATCACAGGGTTCAACACGGGGACCGCAATCCAGGTTTGAGTTACCATGTGACAAGAGAACCAGGGGGGAAGAAAGAAAGAGTGTGTAAGAGGGAGCAAGGGGAGTTGGGGCGTGGTGCAGACCTGGATGCGGGAGACGGCTTGACGGAAGGCGCTGTAGTTGGAGGGCATGTGGGGCAGGGCGAAGGGCAGGTCGTCCACATGGAAGAGCGTGCTGCCCCAATAGGTCTGTGCCTCCACGCCCTCCTCCTGCCATGCCCTCCACCACACACACACACACACACACACACACACACACACAAACACACACACACACACACACACACACGTATATACACACATGCACTCATACACGCACACGTCCGCACACGCACATGCAAATGCACATGCGCATATCCACATGAAGGACGTACGACAGGTTGAGTGTACGGTCATACACTTTCCAAGAGAAGATTCACACATGCTTATTGGCTTTTCTCTTCCCCTACCGTACGTGCTACCACTCAATCTGAATCCCACCTTCCCCCTCATTCCGCTTTCCCCCCGCACCCCACTTTCCCCCGCATTCCACTTCTTCCCACATCCCACCATCCCGCGGTCCCACCTTGAGGCGGGCGGCCACGGCAGCCTCCACGCGGCTCTCCTCGGCCGTCACCTCCTGCTGCAGCACCACCGCCTGCGCCCCCACCGCGCGTGCCAGGCGCGGGAGCACGTCCTCAGGCCGCCCCACGCGCAGTACCAGGTCGCTGCCGCGCTCCCGCAGTGCCACCCGCAGCGCCGCCACGCACTGCAGCAGGAAGCGCGCCCGGTGCGGCCCCGTGCGGTCAAAGCCTGATGCCGACTTGCCTGTGTGCATCCACACGTGCACAGGGGTGGCGGGCAGAGGGAGGCGGGCAAAAGGGGGCGGGCAGGGGGGCAGTGGCAACGGGAGATGCAAGGGCGTGGTGGAGAGGAGGAGAAGTGAGAATGGAAGTGTGAACCATACAGAGGCGTCAGCCAAGGGGAGAGGGAAGGTGAGGAAAACGCAGGTGAGATGGGAGGGGAGAGGGAGGGCGAACCGTAGTCGCGCGGGTCGAAGCAGTAGACGGGCAGCACAGCGGCAGCCTCATTGTGGGCGGCAGCGAGTGCCTCGTTGTCGTGCAGGCGCAGGTCGTTCCGCACCCACTGCACCACCGTCCTGTGCGCCCCCGCTGCTCCCTTGGGGTCGCTGTGGGGCGTGCAGGGAGGGGTGAGAGGCGCGGCATGAGCAGAGGGAGCGACACTGAATGCACGATGCGAGAGAGGAAGAGGGGAAAATGAGAAGGTACGTGGAGAGCGAGCAAGGTAGATGAATGACGCTTTACCAGCCTGTCGTGCCAGGTGCTTACCAGGTGTTGCTAGCCTGTCGTCCCAGGTGCTTACCAGGTGTTGCCAGCCTGTCGTCCCAGGTGCATCAGATCAGGAAACGCCGTTGCTTGCTTCATGGGGCCCACAGCCGCATGTGCAGGTGACACGTCAGCAGCCAGCCCGTTGACAGCTGCCACGTGGCAAGCTGACACCACGGGCATGGGGGCGAGGCACTTGCTCTGGAAGGACAGTGCAGGGCGAGCAGCTGACACGGCAGTCAGGCGGGCGAGGGGGGAGGCGGCAGGGCGGACGAGCGGAGCAGAGGAGGAGAGGGAGAACGGGGGGCGGCTGGTGGGAAACAGCAGCGGACGGCCTGCAGAGGAGAGGGCAGAGGCGGAGAGGGCGAGAGAGAGAGAGGCGAAGGCAGGAACAGGGATGTAGGCCGGGGAAGGGGCGGAGGGAGGAGCAGCAGGCAGCAGAGGCGCGGAGGGAGGGGTAGGAGCAACAGTGGGAGAGAGGTTGCGGGGAGCGGTCGCAGTGGGCTTGGGAGCGGCGGGAGGGGCCGACGGTGAGGCGAGCGGGCGAGAGCCGTTTGCAGCTGACGTGGCAATGTTGTGGTCTGACAGCATGGCCAGGTCATCAAAGTCGAGCGCGGACGGGGCGTCCGCGTTGGTGTGCGCAGGAAGGGGCGGGGGGAAGAAGGCCGCGGCTGTGGCGCACACCACACCCGCCATGGCGTCCCCCAGCGCCTCCGCGGCTGCCCTGCACTCCGCCCGCCACGCCACACACGGCACGCCCCGCCGCGCTTCCGCTCCCACCGCCTGCTCCAACGCTGCCTGCCTCGCCTCCGCCCCCTCCGCGGATTCGCCCTCTTCCCTTCCCCCGCTCCCCACGTCCACCACCACCGCGTGCGCCCACACGCCCGCCCCCAGCGCCTTGCCGACTGCGCGCATCACCAGCCCCTCCGCCTCGCTCCTCTCCGAGTCCCCCCCAACGAACACGATGACGTCAGCAGGGCGGGCGCTCAGCAGGTGGTGGCGGAGGCGCATGGCCGCGGTGAGGGCGTCGGCTTCGTGCGCAGGCGGGCGGAAGCACGCGGCGGCGATGGTGGCGCGCAGGGGGCCGCGGTTGACAGCCCGCTCGTTGACGCGGAGAGATGCGCCGGGCTGGAGGGGGAAGAGGGGCGAAAATAAACGATTGAATGCACGGGAAATAATATAAGAGGGGAAAAAAGAAGGGAGGTACAAAATAGAAATGGCAGACGCGGAATGCGCGGGGCGACCTGAGAGAGGGAAGCATCGGGGAAGATGGCGCTGGCGGCGATGCCATTGGCGATGGCTGCGACGGCGGGCTCATCACAACCGACCAGCAGCACTGTCGCATGCCGAGTCGTCGCGCTCGCATGAAGGCGTGCGACGATGAAGCGATCGAGAGGGGCCGTGGGAGCCATGCGTGGAATGCTGGGGACGCGGAAGTGTTGAAAAGAAATCGCGAAGCACGAATAGTACAGAAATGGCTGGGCTCCACCTATGTTTAGAATCCAGAAATTCGGTTGCTTTGTTGCTCACATCCATCCCAGGTAGGCATGAGTGACCTTCATGATCCCGTCCATTTTGCACATAAATGTGCTGGCGAACAGGGCCAATATCTCTGGTTCCTATCATGACTGTTTCCTACAACATCTCAATATCGGGTAATGAGGTCGCGCACATGCGTATGTTCCATGAATATTTCTCCGCGAAGTAAACCGGGTTACCCATACGTCAGAAAATCCTCTATTTCCGAGAACCAGCTCCCCTTCCTTCCCAAAGTATCTCTGGCGTAAATCAATCCGATTGGTTCGTCTTCAGATCTCCGCCGTTCATTCCGCCGTTTTTGGCTCTCGACTTTATTCTTTCGGCACTTTCAAGGGCCATCCCTCACCCTCTCCCCTCCCCTCCACATCACCCCTTCCTTTCCCCTGGCCCGTCATCCCCTCCACCCTGCAGCACAGCCATTTTCAACAAGCCACGACCTTGGGTTCTTCTCATCCACCCTCGGGTTTCCCCATTTCACTCCACTCCGTGATTCTGGTCGAACGGGGTGTTACGCTTTCTCTGGTCTTATACCCCGCACTTGGTTACCACCGCCGCACGCCCGCCATGGCGACAGCGGCTCTCACGTCCGCCTCCGCCAAGTTCGCGACGTTCGACGGGCTGCGCGCCGCCCGCTCTGACCGATCCACCGTCGTCGCGTCCGCCGCTCCGACGGCAGGCGCGTCGCCATCCCTGGGCCGTGTTCAAGCCACCGCCACTGTAGGCCGCTCATGCTGCATGCGTTTACACTCTGATTTTACATTGTCTTAGCTGAGATCTCGGATTTTGTCAGGATTCCGTTCTTTCGGCAAGGTCCGTCCTTTTGACATGGAGAGAGTTGTTATACGATGAGAAGCTTATCGTTCGATGGCAGCCGTCATTTGCTCGACACGAACTCGATACTCTGTCGTTGCCCGTGTGCCTCGCGTCCATCACACGCATTCATTCTTCTTAGCGCCTTGCGTGAATGCGTGCCTGCATCCCTCGTCCGCATGTCACGTGTGCATGGCTGCCGTCCACAGCCCGTGCAGGCGCCGGCAGCAGGAGCGGCGAAGAGGAGCAAGGTGGAGATATACAAGGAGGAGAGCGACTACCTGCGCTACCCGCTCATCGACGACCTCAAGAACGACCTCCCCAACGTCAGCGCCGCCTCCGAGCAGGTGCGTCAGCGCCGCCTCCGAGCAGGTGCGTCAGCGCTGCCTCGCATCAGGCGCGCCTCCCGATCGTCCGCACCCTGCCTGCCGTTCCTCGTGCGCATCCGTGCGCTCTCCGTACTTCCCACAGCACTCCCGCCAGTCAGATCTCACCGTGGCACTGACGACGGCACGAACGACGACAGCGCTGATGCCAGACTGCGACTGCTGCTCAGAAATAGTTGCCGTTCTTCCTTTCAACTAAATTCTCGTCACTGACGTGCTACGATCGTCTGCGCCCATTCTAATGCAACTGATTTGTGTGTTCCCCCCTGCTTTGCCTCTGTGCACCCGTGTGCGCCTCTCTTGCGATCCCCCCCTCGTCCGCGGCGGTGCGCGCAGCTGATCAAGTTCCACGGCAGCTACATGCAGGACGACCGCGAGGCGCGGCAGGGGGGCGGCGGGCGCGCGTACCAGTTCATGATGCGGACGCGGCAGCCGGGCGGCAAGGTGCACAACCGCCTCTACCTCGCCATGGACGACCTCGCCGACCAGTTCGGCTCCGGCACGCTCCGCCTCACCACGCGCCAGACCTTCCAGGTGCGCTCCGCCTCACTACGCGCCAGACCTTCGAGGTGCGCTCCCCGCGCCACGGCCCCGCCTCTCCCCGCCTTCCAGTAGTCTCCGCGCTGCTATAGAGGCATTCAAGCTCGCACGCTGCGAGCCGCAGCAAATATGCCGCCCGCCATCTCCGCTCAGCACCTCCCAACCCCCATCTCTCCCCCGCCGTCACCCCATCCCCATCCCCCCTGTGTGCGCGCGCAGCTGCACGGAGTGCTGAAGGCGAATCTGAAGGAGGTGTTCGCGACGGTGATCAAGAGCATGGGGTCCACGCTGGGCGCGTGCGGCGACCTCAACCGCAACGTGCTGGCGCCCGAGGTGCCGTTCGTCGACCGCCCCGCGTACCGCTACTGCCAGGAGTACGCCGATAAGATCGCCGCGCTGCTCGAACCGCAGTCCGGCGCCTACTACGACGTGTGGCTGGACGGCGAGAAGGTGCGCGGAGGGGGGATGGAGGGAAGGGCGCATGGGTGAGATGGGAACGGGCTGCATGGGGAAAGGGTGCGTATGGGTAGAATGGGGGGAAGGGGCGCATGCGCGTGGGTCCTGCGCGGTTGCATTGGGGCGGTGACGTATTGGTGAAACGGAACCGATGATGACGCAGGAGGTTATTACTCTCCTTAGTCTCGACTTGTCTTCCTGTTGCCTCCTGTACCTCACACTTCCCTGTGCCTCACCCTCTCCCCTCCGCCGTGTGGCTGGCTTTATCCAACAATCTGCCCCCCCGCCATGGCTCGCACCCACCCTCTCCGCGCCAGGTGCTGACGGCGGAGGCGCCGGCGGACGTGGAGGAGGCGCGCGCGGACAACCGGTTCGGGACGAACATAGAGGGCAGCGCGGAGCCGATCTACGGCACGCAGTACCTGCCGCGCAAGTTCAAGGTCGCCATCACGGTGCCGGGCGACAACTCCGTGGACCTGCTCACCAACGACCTCGGGCTCGTCGTGCTCTGCGACGACGCCACGGGGCAGCTACAGGGCTTTAACATCTATGTGAGCACTGTGCTGCGCGCGCCTCAGGGTTTCGGGTTTGGATTTCGGGATTTTGGTGTTGGGTTTCGGAGGGAGGAGGGTGCATGGAGTTGGTGGGACCAGGCGGTCGTGTGGGAGTGTTGAACAGCTGTGCTGGCAGGGGCGCTGCCGGCATTGGAGCTCACTCATGGAATGGAATGGGGCCCGGTGAGTCTAGCAGGAGTGCCATGAGCAGGCTTCAACACTACTTCTTCCTCGAACCCTGCTCCCTTCGCTGTCCCCCTTCCCGCCTTCTCTCTGCCTCCCCTGCGCCCTCCCGCGCGGCCATGGCAGGTGGGCGGCGGCATGGGGAGGTCGCACCGCAACGAGCAGACGGAGCCGCGGCTGGCGGAGCCACTGGGGTACGTGGCGGCGGAGGACGTGCTGTACGCCGTCAAGGCCATCGTCGCCACTCAGCGCGACTACGGCCGCCGCGACGACCGCAAACAGGTGGGGGGTGGGTGGGGGAGAAGGGGGTTTATGGGGAAGAGGTGGGGGGGCGAGGGGGGAAGACGAGGAGTTAGGGGGCAGGGGTGTGGGATGCTGCAAGCATGGATGGAGGAAGGAAACGGAAGGGGCGCACTTATCATCCTTGCAGTGGTTGCGTTCACCGCTCGCATTCCGTCACTTTTCCGTCCATCAACTCTCTGCCATGTGCTCCTGCCTGCATCCCCTCCCATACGCCGTACTCTCCCCTTGCCCTCCCCCCTGCGTGCACAGGCGCGGCTCAAGTACCTGATCCGCGACTGGGGCATCGACCGCTTCCGCACGGTGACGGAGCAGTACTTTGGCAAGCAGTTCCAGCCGTTCCGCCCCCTGCCCGAATGGCAGTCCAAGCCCTACGTCGGCTGGGGCGAGCAGGTGAGCCGCGCTGCACTGAGTGAGCAGAGCACGTGTTGTGTTGTGCTGTGCTGTGCTGTGCTGTGCTGTGCTGTGGGGTCAGCTCTGTGCCCGTCTTGCAGTGCTGACACCCTCCCCTGCCCCTCCCCACCCCCCATCTGTCCTCTCGCTTGCACATTATCGTGTGGTTGTACCTGCCTGCAAACAACTTCACCTGAGGCTGCTTCACCTAGCCCATTCCCCCCCACTCGCCACTCTGCTACACGCCTCACCACACCGCATCCTACCCCACCGCACTGCACCGCGTGGCAGGGCGACGGGCGGCTGTACTACGGGCTGCACATCGAGAATGGGCGCATCAAGGGCGAGGCCAAGAAGGCGCTGCGGGCAGTGATTGAAAAGTACAACCTGCCCGTGCGCATCTCGGCGAATCAGAACCTGATGCTGTGCGACGTGCGCAAGGCGTGGCGCCCGCGCATCACCCAGGAGCTCGCCGCTGTCGGCATCCTCGTGAGTGCCGCGGGGGAGGGGGGGGGGGAGGGGAGGGGAGGCGGGGCATCCTTGTGAGTGGGTGAGGGAAGGGGAGGGGGGAGGGGAGAGGGGAGGAGGGGCATGCTGTGGTTGGGGCGCTTGGGGAGAGGGGTTGCATCCTGGTGAGGCCAGGCTATGGGGGAAGTTGGAATTCGTGGAAGGGACCATGGGGGAAGGGGGAAGGGGGGCATGTTGGTGAGGCCAGGGGGCAGGCACGGTGGGGGGAGGGGGCATCGTGTTAAGGCATGAGAGAGTCGTTCCGCACCCCCTCTCCCCCCACACACAGAAGTAGCTGCACTCCTACACGCATGCCCTGCTCCACCACATTCCTGTGTCGCTGCCACAACCGTTGTCTGCCGTTGGCGCCCCCCTGCACCCACCATGCCCCACGTGCGACCCACAGGGCAAGCAGTACGTGGATCCGCTGAACCTGACGGCCATGGCGTGCCCTGCCCTGCCGCTGTGCGGGCTGGCCATCACAGAGGCGGAGAGGGGGCTGCCCTCCGTGCTCAAGCGCATCCGCGCCATGCTCGACAAGGTGGGGGAGGGGGATGCTGCTGTGAGGCAAGGCTGTAGCTTTTGTAGCGGGGAAAGCAGGGTGATGAGGTGTGGGGAAGATGGTGGGGCATGTGGGGATGAGTCAGCGAAGGATGCAATGAAGTCGATTGGAATATTGCGTGAGTACATGCGGAACCGTGTGCGCGTGGCTCTAACTTGCTTGCTTGTCGCTGCTGTGTGTTGTGCCTGGTGTTTTCTTGTTGCCTCCCATGGCATGACATGGCATGGCATGGAATGATGGCATGGCATGGCATGGGAGCAGGTGGGGCTGAGGCAGCAGCAGGCGCATTCACTGGTGGTGCGCATGACGGGCTGTCCCAACGGCTGCGCACGGCCCTATGTGGCGGAGCTGGGCTTCGTGGGGGATGGCGCCAACTCCTACCAGGTGGGCATGCCTCCGATTTTTACTCAGATGCTGAGGTTTGAGTGCTGAGCTGCATCAGTGCCCACTGCCTCGTCATGCACCACCCACTTCCTCCATGCCTGACCCACATCGAATTGCCCTCACACCAACAACTGAGCTTCCTCTTTCCCCTCCCCCTCACTCTCGTGCGGCAGCTGTGGCTGGGCGGCACGCCGAACCAGACGGTGCTGGCGAGGGTGTTTCTGGAGAGGGTGAAGGTGGGCGAGCTGGAGGCGGTGTTGGAGCCGCTCTTTGCCATGTGGAAGGCCCACGGCCACAAGGCCGAGTCCTTTGGGGACTTCACCAACCGCGTTGTGAGTGCTGCGGCGGGGGTGGGTGAGTGCTGCGCTGAGGGTGGGTGCGTGCTGCCTGGTGGATGAGTGCTGTGCGCTGTACTCGTGGGCACTCTTGTCGCACAGGGCCATGCCGGGTGTGTTTCCAATAAGCACTTGCAAGTGCACTCCAAGCTCTCATTTCACGTTTCCTGTGTGCTGCTGGTGTTGGTGCTTCTGGCAGGGCTTTGAGGCGATGAAGGAGTACATGGGCACGTACACGGCGCCAATAGGGAGGCAGAGGGGCATGGCTCGGCGCATCACAGTGGATGATGAGCTGGCGGGCAAGCTGCAGGAGGTGGCTACGCAGCGCGGCACCACGGTGGCCAAGGTCACACGTGAGGCGCTGCTGCAGTTCCTGGCAGAGCACAAGGATGAGTAGAGTAGACCTTGTGGACGTACATACATACCGTACCTTGTTCTTTGACACCACATGCAACAGGCTTTCCTGCATGATTGTTCCCTTGGAGGTTGTGTATGATTGTTCCCTTTGTAGCAACTTTCCAACCACATATACAGGCAATATCTCCTAGACTGCAAAGTAAGTAACACTAAGAAACTGGGAATCAGAAAATCTACGTTAGCTGGATGCTAACTAACGTGATTAGAATGGAAAGAATGGGTGGGATGTCTACTAATGGTGGTAAGTGTCTGCTTATGCCTGTCACGAGAGGTGCTGCAAAGCTCTACCAAGCCACTGAAGAGGATCCTCCATGCCACACCCTCCACCACCGTGATGGGTGAGTGGGCTACCCAGCCAGCGGCACCATGGAGAAGCGGCGGCCGGTGAGGTGCAGCCATGCCTTGCGGGTGTGCACGATCATGTGGTGCTGCCGACACTCCAGGCAGCAGAACGCCTTGTCGCCCCTGCACACACACATGCCATCATGAAGGTCAGCACGCAGCCATGTAGATCCATGTAAATCCATGTGAGAAAGGAATTCAGCAAGGCCAGTAGGGGAGGAGATCGCGCGGGGCTACTGCGGAGGGGCGCGCGCGGGGCTCACCGGTACATGAAGGCGTCCGCGCGCTCCAGGCTCCGCCGGCAGAAGGCGCAGCGCTTGAGGAAGTCGGCGCTCGTCGCGTCCGACAGCCGCGCGCCGGGCGGAGGCCGCCAGCAGTCGTCGCCGTCCATCGCGCCGTACGACCACGGCGAGCTCGCGGCGATGCGCTGCGCGTCCAGCGGCACTTCGCAAACCACGCCGCGCTCAACTATCGTGGCCGTGCTGCTCGGTGCAGCTGCGGGACTCGCGGCGATCACAGCGCAGGGCTCGTCATGCCGGCACGCATCGCGACGCTGATCGGTGGAGGAGAGGTGCATGGAGCTTAGCGTGCGGTGAAGCACGAGATGGGCGGCCATGGTGGGACGGCTCGCACTGATGCTGCTAGTGACGCGGTCATGTGACAGGGCCGTCACGGTGTGCGTACTACGGAACGTCCAAGGGATCAGCACGGGAATCTAGCTGAAGAGAGAAAATGGGAAGGCTTGAGACAGGGAGACGAGAAACCCGAGGGAGGAGGTTGAGGCTGGATGCGAATGGAGATTGCTTGTGAGGGACGCCGTCAGGCTGTCGCCATCAACCGCCTCTACGCGTGGTCGCCGCCTCACAGCGACCCACCCTTGACTCGGCATGCTGCCCGACCACTCGCCTGCCCTCCCATCATCATCCCGCTCCCCGTGTGCTGTGGCTCCTCCTCCCAAGGAGGGCGAAACTTGGGCGAGCGTCGCTCACGGCCACATGCTGCCGAATCCCCGAATGGGGGATGGGGGGGGAGGGACCACTGTACACGTGAGTTCGTTCGTGGAAATTGGTCAGCGTGACTGCTTGTGTTGCATGCTCGACTGGGCAGGGAAACGCGCCGTCGAAAAAGTGCGACGACTGGTCATCCTGGGAAATGCGCGGCCACTGAGTACCCTCCACGTTGGCAATTCGTCTGACGACAGCCCTGAGCCTCTCGATATCTCCCTGCCAATCTGGTTTGACAGGAGGTCGTTGCGCTCCATGTCATCGCCACCGAAAGTGGAACTTGGAGAAGTGATTCAGAAATATCTCTCAGCCACAAAGAAGCGACAATTCCTATGCCAGTCTGACCAAAAAACATAAGATGCAACGATAAATATCAGAACACAAAACGTTGAACAATAGCGAGTCGAGTACAGTACTGCATCCCCGGCTTTCTGTACACAGAGGGGAGGGAGGGAAATCAGCTGTGAATGAACGTGATCGATAGCGAGCGTGACATTCATCACCAGTCAGTCAGTCAGCGATCCACTTGCCCAGCTCCCGCTCCACGTTGCTGGATCGTCTCGTCTCGAGCCATTCACCACCGTCTCAGGGCTTGGCCAGCCTCTCACTCGCCGCTGTCTCCTCGCCCCGCATCCAAGGACTTCCCTTTTTTCCGTCCCTCTCGTCCGCCCGTCCGCTCGCGTCAACCCTCATCCCCGTCGCCCCTGTCATCCGCGTATTCCCAGCGTTCGCCACGATGAGCGGCAGAGGCGGCGGCGGCGGCGGGCGGCCACAGGTGGACAAGGCGGCGGATTTCGCGAATTACTTTTGCACGTACGCGTATCTGTACCACCAGAAGGACATGCTGTCGGACCGCGTGCGGATGAACGCGTATCGCGACGCGGTCATGAAGAATAAAGCGCATTTCGTCGATAAGGTGCGATCCAGTTCTGCGCCTCGGTGAGATCGAGTCGCAGTTCCGTGAGGGCGAGAGATTCGGCCGTGTTTCATTAGTGAATCGCGATCCGATCTAATTTCTCCAATGAGAATGGTCCAGCACCCGTCAGTATCGAGGCATCACCCACCCGTCGCTCTGCGCGGCCCCGATCCCCTGCACCTGATTAACCCGTACCCGCATTGCCTTGGGTCCGTCCGATCCAGGTCTTCGTCCATTAGCAACTCCTCACCTCCTCCCCACCCCCTCCTTCCTTCCTTGCGCCCACACCCGCCAACCCCACGTGCCTTGCCGCCCCACCTCCTCCCCGTGCTCGCCGTGCCCACGCTCCCCGTGCTCGCCTGCCCACGCTCCCCGCGCAACGCAGCAACCACTATCCCCGGAACCCTCAACCCTGTCACCTCTGCGCTCCCCACCCCCTTCGCCCCCACAAGCTCTTTCGTGCTGCCTCTCGCCCCATCCGACACCTCCTCTCCCCATCCCCAACCCCTCCCCCCCCACAACCGTTCTCCCGCGCGCCCCGCAGGTGGTGCTGGACGTGGGCACGGGCAGCGGCATTCTCGCCATCTGGGCGGCGCAGGCGGGCGCGCGGCGCGTGTACGCGGTGGAGGCGACGGACATGGCGCAGCACGCGGAGACGCTGGCGCGCGCCAATGGCGTGGCGGAGCGCGTGACGGTGCTGCAGGGGAGCATGGAGGATGTTCAGCTGCCCGAGAAAGGTGCGTGGGGGCGGCGGGAGTGCTGTGCGGGGAGGCGGAAAATTGCTTGTCATGCACTCTCTTACACACGGCTTCCCTTCCCTCGTCCCCCCCCACACTCGTGACACAATTTCCCTTGGCCCCCTCCCTTCCCCTCATGCTTGCTCCCACCTCTCCCCCCCCCCCCCCCCCCACCCACCACTGGCTCGGCGCGCAGTGGACGTGATAATAAGCGAGTGGATGGGGTACTTCCTGGTGCGCGAGTCCATGCTCGACTCCGTGCTCGTCGCCCGCGACCGCTGGCTCAAACCGGGCGGCTCCCTGTCCGTGCAGCCTCTGGGACCAGGGGGGAGAGGGGAGAGGGATGGGGACTGGGTGGGCTGAGGGGTTGAATCTGCGGATGGGTTATTGGAGATGGGGCAGAGGGAGGGGTGCTTTTTTTATGCACTGTGCTGTGTCAACCTTCTTATCCACCTCTCCGTATCCTTTTAGGCCCCTCTGCCGCCTCCTGCCGTCGTTTCTGCTCATCCCTTTCCCTCCCACCCCACCCTCATCCACCGCCGCCCCCTTGATTGGTGCAGGTTCCCGAGCCATGCGCGCATGTGGGTGGCGCCGGTGCATTCGAGCCTGTGGGAGGGGCGCATGGGCGAGTTCCGCAGCAGCATGGGCGACTGGCGCAGCTTCGTGCGGGGCACACGGGAGGACTACGGCGTGGACATGGCGGTGCTGGATCAGACCTATGAGGCCGAGCAGCAGAAATACTTCCTTCAAGTAATAATCTCCCCACCTCCCTCGCCCTGTTCCCTTTCTCCCAGTCCCCTTCTCGCGTTCTCTTTCCCCCACTCCTCTCTCCCGTTCCTTTTTCCCCAGTCCCTCTCGCCCATTCCCTTTTAGATGCTCCCTCTCGCCCGCTCTCTTTTGCCCACTCCCTCGCTCTCACTCCCACTCTGACACCCCTCCGGCTCCTTCTCAACAGCTCCCTCGCCCCGCGCCTTGTATCCCATCTGTTACCTGCCGTTCCTTGCTCCACTCACGCCCTCCCTCACCCCGTGCCCCCCGCCCCCTGCCAGACAGGGTGTTGGGAATCGCTGTACCCCTCACAGGTGTTGGGGCGGCCGGTGATGATCCGCGAGATAGACTGTGCCACGGCCACCGTGGCCGATGTGGAGGAGGTCAAAGCGCACTTCACCACTCGTGCCTTCGCTGCTGATAAAGCCGTCAACGCCATCGGAGGGTGGTTCGACGTCCTCTTTAAGGTAAGCCTGCTTGCATTGCAGCAACCCATCCTGTCGTCCCAGACACCTCAAGCATGGCATGGGCTGCTCCAGTGGCTGCTTGCCACCAACATTCCCACAATCGGCCTCTCCTAACCCCCTCTGCTGCCTTCACTGTTCCCCCCGCCACCCCCCACCGCTCCCCTCCTCCACCTTTCCCCCAACACACAGGGGTCAGCCACGGACCCCACGGAGCACGAGGTGCAGCTGACGACAGCGCCCAGTGTGGACGAGGGCACGCACTGGGGGCAGCAGGTCTTCCTGCTCGCACACCCGCTGCACGTGCGCGAGGGTGATGAGGTATCGGGCGCCATGCACATCCGGCGCTCCAAGAAGAACCACCGCCTCATGGATGTTGATCTGCAGCTGCAGTGCCAACACACCGACGGCTCCCGCTCCCCCAACACCATCGCCGCTTACTTTATCGAGTAGACGTGTGTTTGTGCCAACTCGTGCATGCTCCTTCAGTTGCCTAATTTTTGTTAGGGTGATTTTTGTAATTCTTTTTATGGGTCATTCACAGCACAGCAGTTCCAGGTGTACCTGCAGGATCCTGAAGCTGCATGCAGCCAGCTGCCAGCGCTGCTGCTGTGTGGCTACACCCACTCTACTGGAGAGTGCTTTGTTTTCAGCAGTTGGCTCTCAGTTCACATGGCTCTTTAAAACAGTGCTTTCTGGCATCATGCTGGTGTATTTCTATTACGAGCATAATTACTTGTACGAAAAAATCCATACAGATTATAATTTTTAAACACATTGATGTTTTTCAAAATTGTGTATTGTGAAAGCGAAGCTGCCTGTACCGAATATTTGGCAGCGTCGAAGCGCGCTAAACGCCCTTCTCCAACTACAAAAACCGTGGGTTGGAGTTCATTCCCTCCACCCACATTTCTCGTTTTCCAACGGCTCAATCAACATTTCCGTTCGAGTAGTTCTTTTCCCCGTCCAAGCTGGCTAGAACTCGCACTCTTCCCAGAGGCCAGTCACCCTCAACACTTCTGCAAGACATTTTCAACCACAATCGCTCTACAATGGCGTCTACGCCGGCACTTAACCGCGGCAATTCGTCTGCGCCGAGTTCCGACACCGATCGTAACGCCCGAGAAATGACGGGCGATCGCCGTAACAAGCGGCGGGCAGAGGAAGGATCGCCCGCCCCAACTGCCGTAGACATGCTGTTAGGCGGGCTCGAGGTCAACAAAAACTCGAGCCCGCCTCAGCAGCAGCACCCCTCGGCCCCTGTGGCGCCTGTGGCGCCTGAGGCACGTGTGGCGCAAGTGGCGACGGCGGCACCTGCAGCACCTGTGGCGCCACACGCGCCTGACGCGGAGCACACGCCGGCGCCTGTGGCTGGACCGTCGCGTCAGCGCCAGAGGCGCCGAACAGCGACTTCCTCTGACGCGACGACCCCGGCGTTGACCAACGCGTTGACTCCGGACCAGGTCGCCGCGCTTCTGTCCCTGTTACAGCAACAGCCCGCCAGCGTTACAGCTACGGAAATTGCACAACCTGCGGCCTCTGCATCTGCTAAAAAGGAAAACGCAAAAGGAGAAAAAGGAGCGCGAGGAACAACGGCGAACCGGCACGACAAGGAAGCACCGGCCAGCATCCCACCTGCGCCAGCGGCCGACAACGACACCGACGGCTCCGACGACGATGATGGTGAGGCTCCGGTCCATACCACAAATTTTAATTCCATGGAGCATCTTCCCCCCCTCCCCTCTACTACTAACACCACTTGGTCGGCGGCGACGTTCAACGACGCGCACGTGCGGGCGAAAGCGGAAATTCTGGAGGACATGCGGGCTTACCTGAAACGCGCAGAGTACAAGCTGCAGCACGGCGACTTGGCGGGCGGACTCGAAATGGTCGTCGCCGCCCTCGACGACATTTCCGCGCGCTTCGACATGTTTCGAGTCGAAGACGCCGACGACGACCGCGTGGCCAAGCGCTACAAAATGTACCTGCAGAAAAGTCTTCTCACCTCGCGGCCGTTCAAGCAAGCCGTCGCAGACGTGGCTGCCATGGACCGAGCGGCGGGCGCTCACGCTCGCTCCCACCGTGGTGGAAACCACGGCGCCATGGCGTTCGCTCCAAAACGTGGCCCTCCAACCTCGGGCAACTTCCAAGGCTTTCGTGGTTCGTGTTTCCGCTGCGGCCAGCCAGGCCACGTCGCCAATGCCTGCCCTCGGAATGGGCATGGGGGCCAAGGACCCGCACCGGTTGTGTAGGGTTCGGGCTATGGTGAAGCGAGCCACTAGGCGCGATGCACGGTGCACTCTTGAGTGCTTAGACCGTGGGCAGCCTAGTAGGGCTTGCGGTGGCCATGGCCAGCCCTAGGATAGGGTGGTAGAATTTGGCCATAGGCCTAGCTTTGGGGAAGAGGAAGAATGCCTCTCGGTTCCCCGTATGCCCCAATTGACGGGATGAGAAGCATGCTAGTAGGCATGACAATGTATGACCATGAGAGATAGGGATTTTATTTAAGGCCCCCTCTGGTTTGTGAAGGATAAAAAAAAAAAAAAAAAAAAACAAGAAACAAAAGGGTGGGGGCGAAAAAGAGAGTACGCACGTTCCTCACTCAAACCGCCACCATGCATGGCAAGGATGGGCAGCTCTGGTTCAACCTTTGGAAAACCAAAAAGGGCGAGAGAGAGGGAGAGAGAGAGAGAGAGAGAGAGAGAGAGAGAGAGAGAGAGAGAGAGAGAGAGAGAGAGAGAGAGAGAGAGAGAGAGAGATCAAGAGGGGAGCATGATCATGGTCCCAAGCATCAATCCTACAGCAAGGTAAAAAAAAAAAAAAAAAAAAAAAAAAACGAAGAGGGGAGGGAACGAGAGAGAGTATGGGAAAGAGTTTGCAAAGGTGCGATCGGACACCCTATATGGAATGAGGACAAACCGTCCGTATGGTTCTCGCTGTTGACGGTTCATCTTTCGCGCATGCATGTATATGTCACACGCATTCACTAATTAAGGCGTGTAACTTGATTGGTCCCGTTCATTTCCTTGTCGTACATACAGGAGCACAACAATACGAGGTGCCTCGCGACGATGGCCCATACGAATTCGCCGTCACGGACAAAACCGTCACACGGATGTGCGGTCGGCTTCGCTCGACCTTTGCGTGGTGGAGCTCATGGTGCCCTTGCAGCCTCGTCCTATCCATAATCGCCAACGGTTACTGGCTTCCATGGAGCCACGGTCCACCACAGGCCTTCCGGGAGCGTAACCACGCTGGTGCATACGCGCATGCTACGTTCACACGTACTGCCATCCAAGAACTCACAGAGACTGGAGCTGCAGTCGAGACAACCGCAAGCGAGCTTACGTGCATAAGCCCACTTAACGTGGTCGAGCAAAGAGAAAAATGCAGGCTCATCCTCGACCTGAGAAAAGTCAACGCAAACCTCATCGTTCCAAAATTCAAGTACGAAGGACTCAGCCGTGTGGCAGACGTGGCACGCGCTAGGGATTGGATGTTTTCTATTGATCTCAAATCCGGGTACCATCACATCGACATCCATCCCTCATGCTGGAAGTTTCTCGGTTTTGGATTCGATGGGCGCACTTACTCTTTTCGTTCATTGCCGTTCGGTCTTGTGACAGCCCCATTCGTCTTCACGCAACTCATCAAGCAGCTAGCCCGTCGCTGGCGGGAGCAAGGCATTCGAGTAGTACCATACGTGGACGACATCTTATTCCTCTGCCAGTCAAAAGCCCACGCGCAGGCCACTTGCCACCGTGTAATACTGGACCTTAAAGCAGCGGGTTTGGTGATAAATGCTAAGAAATCACAGCTGTCACCATCGCAACACCTTCGATTCTTGGGTGTGGAGCTGGACACGGCCACCGGTCGATTCACCATCGGTCCCGAACGACGAGCCTCACTACATGCAACCATTCGTAACCTGTTGAGTGCAAGCAAGGCATGTCGACCCGTCTCAGTCCGCCAAGTGGCCAGAATCACAGGCATGCTCGCGTCAATGGGCGTCGCGCTGGGCGCAACAGCTCGTGCTTTCAGCCACGCCATGCTACAAGTGATCAATGACGCACCTTCATGGAAAAGCAGCGTGATCATCCCCCCACCCGCGGCCAAGGAGCTAAACTTCTGGCTCGAGGAGTTTGATAGGTTCAACGGTGCACCGTTTCACGTTCGAAACAGCTACGATGCTGTAATCCATGTGGATGCTAGCGCTCACAGTTGGGGCGCCACTTTGACCACATTCCCTGGCGGCCTCGAAGAAGCTAGCGCAACAATGTCAGAGCCGCTGCGAGCGACGTCCAGCACACGGAGGGAGATCGAAGGAGTGCTTTGGGCACTCCAAACATACTCCAGCAAGATCACGCACAAACATGTTCTTGTGCGGGTGGACAATCAGGGCGTCTTCTTCATCCTTCGCAAAGGTGGCTCGCGCAGCCCCGACCTTACCACGGCCTGCCAAGGCATCATTCGGACATGCATGGAGCACGGCACGCGTCTAATCATCGAATGGATCCCACGCGAGCTAAACTCACACGCCGATGAGCTCTCAAAAGCAGTCGATCATGACGACTACTCGTTGAAGACGCCGTGGTTCCGCATCTTAGAACGACGTTGGGGTCCCCATTCCATCGACCTCTTTGCAAACTCCCGCAACTCTCAGCTGCCACGCTTCTGCACAAAAATTCCTCATCCACAAGCCACCGCAGTAGATGCATTCTCGCTCGCATGGACATCAGAAAATAGCTTTGCTTTCCCCCCGCCCCATTTAGTACCGGCCGTCCTCCATCACGCACAGCGCACCCATGCGTCGCTCACACTGATCATCCCACACTGGCCGGGTGCAAACTGGTGGCCACTCCTACAACCTTCCCCACGCAACTGGGCACCGTACATCCACGCGCACATTCCTTTGACACACGGCAGCCAATGTCTGGCAGCTGGAACACATTCCGCTGCTTTTTCAGGCACTGGATTACCACACAGCCCAATAATCGCACTTCGGGTGGTTTTTGACTAATTGAGAGTGTACGTGCCTTGTGTCCAGATCTGCTCCCAAAGCTACACAACCAACTCATCAACATGCTCACACAATCGCGAGCAAATTCAACGATCCGTACATACGAACCGTACTGGGCCAAGTTTCGGGCTTTCTGCACAAAGGTGGATCTCCCATTTCTTCCCGCATCCGACATGGCCCTCGCGCTATACTTGGTACATGCAATCCAACGAAGAGCAACCTTGTCTGTAGTGCAGCTCACGTGCTCGGCAGTCAGCTTCGCCCATCGCATGACTGGAAGCAAATGCCCGACTGTCGGACCGTTTACCACTCAAGTGCGGGACTACGCGAAACGACACTGCCCTCGCCCTAGTCGAATGAAGGAGCCCGTGTCAATCCAACAAGTTCGGGACATGTCCGCGAACTACTTGCAGTCGGACAATCCTGCTGAATTTCAGAAGGGGTTGATCCCTATCCTCATGTACTCCGGATTTTTGCGATACTCCGACCTGGTGGCCATCCAGTGGCAAGACATCCAATTCGACGACGAAGTCATGTGGATCCTCATCCCACACTCAAAAACGGACCAGGCCGGTCGTGGAACTTGGATTCCCATCGCAGCAACGACGGACCCCTGTTGCCCCGTGCGCTGCACCCAACGCTTCCTTCAACTCGCTGGCTATGGCCCGCATTCAGAGGGGTCGCTGATTCGCGTTTTTGGTCAAGCTTCAGCCAACAAGGGTCAGGCCAAGCCACCCTCGTACACAACGATCCGGAACTGGTGTAAAGAAGCATTCGCAAAGGTTGGACTTGGGGAGCAGCAACTCGGCACGCACTCCTTCCGAAAGGGCGCGGCAACCGTAGCAGCCAACATCGGCGTGCCGGACAGGATCTTCAAAAGGATGGGCAGGTGGCGAAGTGACACAGCCAAAGAGATGTACGTCATACCACACGTCGGACATCTTATCAAGGCATCCCGCGACCTACAGGACCCGACACACGCACTGCCCCCAGAACAGCACGCAGAGGCACTCTTACGCAACCGGAAGCCACCGCTGCCCATGTCTCAGAGGCCCCAGTTGCAATGAGAACGATGCCAAATTATAAGGACAAGAAAGCAAGCTTTCTCAATATTATAATTTTTAAACACATTGATGTTTTTCAAAATTGTGTATTGTGAAAGCGAAGCTGCCTGTACCGAATATTTGGCAGCGTCGAAGCGCGCTAAACGCCCTTCTCCAACTACAAAAACCGTGGGTTGGAGTTCATTCCCTCCACCCACGTTTCTCGTTTTCCAACGGCTCAATCAACATCCCCACCACCCACCCCGGACCAACTACAAGACCACAGCTGCTTGGACGGACGACTCCATAGCTAGTAATATTTGCATATACTAGCATGTGTTTAAGAACGATGCATATGTTGTAATAAGCCAGTTGCAATGAGAACGATGCCAAATTATAAGGACAAGAAAGCAAGCTTTCTCAATTGTTGTGTTCTAAAGAGCTGCCCCTTGCAGAGGCGTGCATGTGGCCATGCCCACAGCATCGCCCCTCCCTCCAGCCATCACCGCATCTTGCTGTGTCGGTGCTGCTGGTTCTTCCTCTTCTTGTACTCGCCTCGCTTGCGCGCCAGACTCGCCCGTCTGCGAGCGTGCCTCTCGGGGTCCACCAGCACGCTCACCCGCGCCGCCTCCCGCCTGGCTGCCGCCCGCCTCCTGGCGGTGTCGCGGGCGGCGGAGAAGGCGGCGATGAAGGCGGCGGGGCCCACCTCGTGGCGCACATGCTCCACCACCTCCGCCACCACGCCCTGCACCTCCGCTGCTTGGTGCGAACAGGGGGAGCAGGTTGCGGGAGGAGGGGGGGTGGGGTTGAAAAATGTTACAGGGGAGGAGGGAGGAGGGATGAAGATGAGGAATGAAATAGCGAGGACGGGTGGTTGAGTGAGCAAAAGCAGTGGTCCAACACGGCATGCAGGGCGAGCAAGCAGAAGGAGAGACTGCCAGCCATGCGCTTCTCACAGCAGCAGCATTGCCACGAGCAGAGAGAATGGCACCAGGGTTCCAAAGGGGCACAGAGGGATGCAGAGGTGTGGAGGGGGGCTCACGTGGGACAACGGCGCCTGCAGAGCCCTGTGAGAGGCGGAAGAGCGGCAGCATGACGTCCCCCAGGTACGGCCGCACCCCCTCCCCTCCCAGCGCTGTCGCCAGCGCCGCCACACACCGCAGCGCTGCTGCCGTCTGGTGGCCACCATGCATGGGGGCGAGGAGGTGGGGGGAGATGTGTGGGGAGAGAGAGTGAAAGGGGGAAGGGAGAGGGATGAGGGGGGAGTGAGGGGAGGGTGGAAGCAGAAATCATTAGAGCACAGAGCGATGGTATGTGGAACGTGCAAGGGGCACAACACATGCAAGGGCGCACCTGAATGGGCTTGACTCTGTATGCCACACGTGCCACCGCCTTCATCACCGCCCCCAGCGCTATGTGCCGCACCGCCTCCTCACTTCCCCCCTCCCTTGATGCCACGAGGCCCCCATCCGGTTGCCCCTCCCCATCCACCTGCTCCTCTGCACCGCCCTCCTCCCCATCGCTCTGCTGCCTCTCCTCTGCCTCATCCCCATCCCCTGCCTCCCCACTGCCCTCCCCTACTGGTTCACCCAACATGACGGCCCCACCCCCTGCACCTGTCGCTTCCATATCAGCATCAGCATCAGCATCGGCATCAGCACCAGGATCGGCATCAGCATCAGCAGCAGCAGCACCAGCATCAGCATCACCAACACCACTGCCCTCCCCAAAGTCTAGAAGGTATGCTTCCTCATCGCCCTTCTCTTCTTCCTCTTCCTCCTCTGCTTTCTCCTCCTCCTCAATTCCACCTTCCACCCCTCCCTCTGCTTCTCCCAACACCTCCTCCTCCTCTTCCTCCTCCTCCTCGTCCTCCTCGCCACCACTGCCATCCCCAGTCCCCTCTCCCTCTCTCCTCCGCACTCTCAGCAATTGCCACCCCAGTTTCAGCCGCCCCCTGCCCTCCCGCCCTATCTCACACCCATCTAGCTCCACCACCAACCCCGATACCTTCTCCCTTCCCTTCCTCATCCCACCACCAGCAGCGCCAGTAGCAGCGCGGCAAGGCAGGAGGGGCAGGAGGGGAGCGAGGGCAACGAGGTTCTTCACGGTGTGCTGTGCCAGGCGCTCATCGCTCGCGTTGCTCTCCAGCACACGGCACAGCGCCCCCGCCACCACCACCAAGTACGACGGCTGCAGCAGCACCTGCCACACTGCCACCCCTGCCCCCCGCCCCTCACCCTCCTGCTCCTCCTCGTTCTCCCCCTCATCCTGCTCGCCCCTCTCCACCAGCTCCCTCACCACAGCCTTCAGACCCTCCTCCTCGTGCCCACACACACCCTTGCTCCCACCACCACCAGCAGCGGCGGATGCAGCGGCAGTGGTGGCATGGGAGAGGTACGCCCCCAAGAGGCGGCAGGCAGCGGCACGCACCCAGAGGTGGCGGTGCAGCAGCAGCGCCGGCAGCTGTCGCCACAGCGCTCGCATGCTGCTGCTGTGCGCCTGCCCGCCCTCCCGCTGCAGCACCTTCTCAGCCAGCACCACACACGCGTACACGCCCTTCCACCCCTCCACTCCCCCCTCCTCCCCTCCCTGCGCTCGCTGCACAATCCGCACAGCAGCGCCCATCCACACGCCCACCATGCCGCCCTGCTCGCCGCCCACCCCCACCGCCTCCACCGCCACTCCCAGCACCAGCGCTGCCGCCTGCTGCAGCTGGGGGGACGGATCCACCAGCCACGCAGACGCGAAGCGCAGCAGGCGGGCGCATGTGGGCGGCTTGACTCGCACGAACAGCGCCTTGAGCACCGCTGCCACCCGCGCTGACTCATCGCTGACTAGGCGCGTGACGAGCGGCAGGAAGAAGGTATCAGCGTGGGCCTCGACAAGCACGGAGGGGAATCCCTCTATGATGGCGCGCAGCATGCCCAGCACGGCCTCCCGCCCGCTCTGGTGCTCGTACTTCAAATTCACTATGAGGAAGCTCAGATGCGCCTCCAGGCGCGCGGGACCCAGCGGGTAGTCGAGAAGGAACGCGAGCAGCAGCGCGGCGCTGAGTTGACGCACGGAGGGCGTGTGGGAGCGCAGCAGCAGCAGCTGCACGCGCCCCATGGCGTCATACACCTCTGGTACCACCACCCGCCGCCGCAGCAGCGCTCGCAGGACAGCAAAGGCGGTGGTGCGAGTGGAGGGCAGCTCGAGGTCTGTGAAGACAGCACTGCCCAGCAGCGCCCGCACCTGCTCCTCGCCCACCCTCACCTCGGGGCATCGCTCTAGCAGCACCGCTAGGAGCTTCAGACACGAGTGCACCATGCCGCCCGCCACCGCCGCCGCCCGCCCCGCCTGCTGCACCACCTTGAACGCTGACGTGGCGACGCGGGGCGCGACGGTGGCGACGGAGGGGAGGCGGCGGTGGAGGAGGAAGGCGAGCGCGCGGAAGGATGCGGCGAGGACGGCGTCGTGGGGCGAGGAGAGGGTGAGGGAGAGTGGGTGCACGAGGGCGTTGAGGCGCGGGGTGAGGGCGGGGTCGGAGGCGGGCAGGCGGTCGTGCGAGGCGAGGGAGAGCAGCAGCTGCAGCCCCAGCAGCGCCACCACATGCCCGTTCGGCATCCCCTCAAACCCCAACCCCTTCTGCTTCTTCCGTCTTCCTCGGCCCCTCTTGCCCTCCGCTTCCTCCCCTTCCATCCCACCCTCCTCTCCCAATTCCCCCTCCATCCCCCCTTCCTCCCCCCTCCCTTCCCCTCCGCCCTTCCCCTCCCGCGCCTCAGCACGCAGTCGCTTCCGATCGCCCGCTGCCGCCGCGTGCGCCTGTTCCACGCGCACGCCCTCCCACAGCACCGCGTGCACCAGCACCAGCAGGTCGCCAGCTGTCGCGTGCTGATTGGCTAGCAGCCCGATAGCCATATGTCTTACCATCTCCTGCACGTGCCGCTTCACCCGTGGATCCAGCGATGCAGGCAAGGCGGCACGGATGGGGGCGAGCAGCAGAGCCGTGCTGCGACGCACGTTCACGAGCGATGCAGCGATGCGCACCGTCTCCAGTGACCGGCTCTGCCGCTTCTCCCGCACGCCCGCTGCCACAGCATCCACCTCCCTCTCCTCCGCCACCTGCCCCAGCAGCCCCTCCACTGCCACTGCCAAGCACTCGCCCAGACAGTAGTCCAGAGCGCCAGGGGGCATGGTGCGGTCGTGCGTGGAGGCAGCGTGCAGCAGCAGCGCGTGCAGTGTGAAGCCCAACACGTGCCGCTCGAACCCGCGCGTGAGCGCGCTGCGTAACACGCCGATCACGTACCCCAGGTAGGCCGGACCCAGCGCCCCCGCCACCTGGCAGAGTGCTGCCCGGGCGGCGTCTCTCGTTCCTTGCGAGCGGGACTTGAGGGGGTTGACGACGGTCTGCAGGAGCACGGGGAGGTGCGCGCGGATGGCATCCGGCGGCAGCAGCAGCAGCGTGCGCGTCACAGCCAGTGCCACGTGCGAGTTCACCTCCTCTCGCCCCGCCTCGCCTGCCACGAGGTGCTTGGACAGCTGAGGGATAATGTCCTTCAGCAACACCTGCTGGATGCGCAGCGACACTGCTGCCCCTGCCTCCTCCTTCCCTGCCTCTGCTGCTGTGACTTGCCTGCTCTCCTCCTTCCCTCCCTCGCTCTCCTTATCAGCAATCTCCTTCGCCTCACCGCCATCCTTCACACCTTCTTCTCCACCCTCCTTCCAATCCACACCCTCCTTCTCACCCTTCTCTTCCTCCCCTTCGCCCTTCTCCTCCCGTCCCCCCACCCCCACCACGTGCTTGACCTGCTCCAGCACGCCACAGATGGCCCTCAGAATCGCCCGCTGCCCCGCCGCACTCACCTCCTCACCGCCCCTCCCTCCACCCCTGCCCTTACTCTCCTCCCACCACTGCTCGCCCTTCTCCTTGCGCCGCGGCAGCAGGGCGAGCAGGCGGGAGAGCAGGGAGTGGAAGGCGGGCCAGGGCAGGAGGGCGGCCATGGCGGAGAGGGCAGCGATGGTGGCGTCGATCACACCGCTCTCACTGTCCGGCCGCCCCTCCACCAACTGCCTCAGTAGCGCTGGCACCACCGCATCCAGTAGCACCTCCTGGTGGTGGGGGAAGGTGTGGGACGAAGGTGGGGTGGGAAAGGGGGAGAACGATGCATGGGAGAAAGCAGAGCAGTGCAGGAGGGGTGGTGGTGGCGGTGAGAGGGAAAGCTTGCTGCGGGGTGGACACAGTGTGGTGTTGGTGCAGCGCTGGGTGCATGCATGGCATGGATGGATAAGTGGTGTGGGGCACCGTGAAGACAGATGCGCTGGCATGTGAGATGAGTGCACGGCACAGCCTGGCGTTTGACCCACACATGGTGTGAACGAACACACAACGGTAAGTGAGTGGGCATACCGTAGAGAAGTGCGCGGTGGGGCAGAGGGCGGCGAACTTGGAGAGCGCTCGCACGCGGCGGTGAGTCTGCAGATGCACGAGATTGTGGAAGAAATCCGCCTCCACGTCATCCTCCCTCACCAGACACCTCAGCTCCGCCACTGGTGACGTGGCACCCATGTGCAGCGCCACGTCACGCAGCAACAGCACCCACTCCTGCGTGGCGAGACATTGAAGAGAGGGCGATGCAGGCAGGAGATGGAAACAGTGTCATGGTGTAGGGGGCAGAAGAGGGGGGTGAGAGAAGAGGCATATGTATGGCCTGGTTGAGAAGGATGGCAGAGGCAAGAATAAGCTGCAAAGAAAACGACAGGAATGATGGAGGAGCATTCTGGAGCCGGTCCAAGCAGTGTTGGGGGCGGGGGGGGAGGGACAGTACCCTGCGCACGACGACGATGGGCGAGTGGAGGCCCTTTTTTATGTGGCGCAGCATCACTGCATTCACCACCTCCCGCGCCTCCCTCCCACTCAACACACCCCCCTCCTCCCCCTCCCTGCCCTTCCTCGCACCAGCAGTGGCACCAGATTCAGCAGGGAGAGCAGCGAGCGCAGCAGCAAGGCGAACGAAGGACTGCAGGAAGTGGGCGGCGGAGTGGCGCAGCGACATGTCATCGTCCGCCATGTCCCGCACCGCACAGCTCAGCAGCAGCAGACACCCCTCCCGCCCCACCGCCACCACCACCTGCTGCTGCACCTGCTCTGCAGAGAGGTGCAGAGCGGTGGAGGTGGTGTCAGCAGCTGCAGGAGGAGTGGGAAGGTGGCAGTGCATGGAGGTGTAGGCGTGCAGGCGGCGCGTGTAGTCGTACTCGTCTATGCGGGCCGGGTCGTATGCACACAGGTCCGCCACTAGTGACGCCTGTATGCCATGACCAGGGGGAGGGATGGAGGTGGTGGGAGGGCGTGAAGAGTAGACAGTGAAAGGAGGAAGAAAAGGAGGTCTGGGGAGGTAGAGGAAGGAACAAGGGGAAGAAGAGGAGTGAACAAGGGGTGGGCAGGCGGCATGGAGTGGACAGAACATGAATGGGGATATGTATTGACAGGGTCCGTGCATACCAGGAGACGCATGGAGTCTGAGGGGTGGGCAGCAGCGAGTGCAGAGAGCGTGTGCACGAGGGCCAGGCGAGCCGGCCTTGACTGCAGGTGGGTGAGCAGCGGGGCGAAGAGCCGCACACACGTGGCTGCAGCAGCCCGGGACAGCAGCGGCGCCAGGCTCTGCAGCACCGCCAGTACGGCCGCTGTGGTGCTCTCATCCACTCGCCGCCTGCCCCCCGCCGCCTGCCTGAGAAAGGGCGTTAGGGCTGCTGCGAGCTGGCCTGCCAGGTGTGCGTGTGTCACCATGCCCGCCATCCGCCCCACCACCGCCAGTGCTGATGCCTTCAACGCCCTCCCCGCCCCCTTGCTGCTCCATGCCAGACGATGGGCGGGAGAGGGGCAGAGTGGCAGGGGTGGGGGTACGGGAGGGAGTGTGGAATGGGCACAATGAGGAGTAGAAGGACAGTAATGGAGAGACGCAAGTGAGGCGGGCTGGCAGGGTGCGTGAAGGAGAAGGAATGCCGACGAGACTGATCAGAGATTCTCACCTATAGAGTGCTCCCTGCCTCGCGATGAACTGCTGCATGTGTGGCAGGATGGCCGCCAAATGCCCCTCCACGGCCTTCCCTATCGCCACCCGCACCCCCTCCACCTCCCCTCCCATCTCTCCCCCCGCCTGCTCCCACTGCAGCACCACCTCCCCCTCCACCTCGCCCTCCTCGCCCTCCTCTCTCTCCACCACGCCCCACGCCACCACGTGAGAGAGAACCCCCATGGCTGCACCCACCACAGGCAGGCGCGCAGAGGGCGCGGAGAGCAGCGCAGAGAGCGCAGGCAGAGCATGCAGGTGTGAGGCCAGCAGCAGTGCGAGGCGAGGTGAGCGAGAGAGGGCGAGCAGCAGCGCGAGCAGCACGGAAGGTTCGGAGGAAGCAGCGTTGTCGGTGGCGAGGTGGGTGAGGGCGGGGGAGAGGGCGGAGAGCAGCAGCGGCCAGGGGCGCAGGGGGGCGGGCAGGGAGGGGCGGGTGGCGATGTCGGGGAACTTGGCGAGGATGGCGGCGAGCACACGCAGGGCGAGTGAACGGAGGTCCCGAGTCCAGCTGGGCACGTGTGGGGAGAGGGAGTGGGTGGTGTTGGTACCCTCATGATCATCGTCCTCACCATCATCGTTGTCATCAGGTGCATCATCTGCCACCTCCTTGTGCCCATCCTTGTCTGCATCATCAGGGCCCTCAGCAGCAGCAGCATCCGCACCCTCCACTGCTCTCTGCCCTTCCCCCCCTTCAAGCTCCTTTGCCTTCTCCTCCTCTGCCTCCTCTTCCTCAGCCCGCTCCTCCTCCTCAAACTCCTCTTCCACTTCTTTTCCATCCCCTTCCTCTTCAACCATCTCCTTCTCCTTCCCTTGCACTCCTTCTCCCACCTCCCCATCCCTCATCTCCTCCACGCGCCCCTCACCGCCAGCAGTGGGAGGCAGCGGCGGGTAGCACTGCACGGTGCGCACAGCCACGGCCAGCAGCGCCAACACATACGGCTGCAGCTGCTGCCGGCTCATCACGCGCACCACGTCCACCGCCAGGTGCAGAAACCCACTCACTCGCTTGCGCCCCACCATCCCCACGCCCGCTCCCGCTCCCGCTCCCGCTCCCGCTCCCCCTTCCTCCCCCTCCACCCCCACCGCTCCTCCCTCTCCCTCATCCCCCTCATCCCCCAGCAGCAGCAGGAATTCCTCCGTAGCCCCTTGCCTCAGTGCCTGCTGCCACGCCTCCTCGCCTGCCTCTCCTTGTGTTGCTTCTCCCGCTTGGTGCACGGGGCGGAGGGCGGGGCGGAAGGGCAGCAGCATGAGGTGGAAGAGCGGCAGCAGCTCAGAGGGGGGTAGGCGCGCCAGGAACGTCAGCACTGTGCCTCGCTGCACTCCTGCTGCCGCCTGGGAGGGGAGGAGGGGAGAGAGGGGTGAGAATTGGGGGAGAATGAGACAAGGTGACAAGGAGAGTGAGGAAGGAAGAAAATGAACGGTGGAAGCAGCAAGGATGCAGAGAGGGAAACGTGCAGACATGACTGCTCCTTGTGTGTTGTCCTAAATCACTCGTCTCACCTTCCCTGCGAGCTGCCCGCTCCTCTTCTTGAGTTTGGGCAGCAGCAGCCGAATGATCACCGGAATCACACTCGCCCTGTCCGCCTCCGCCACCCTCCCCTCCTCCTCCTCTTCCCCCTCCCCCTCCTCATCCACGGGGCTGATATTCCACGTGGTGAGGGTCTCCTTGAGCGAGCGGTAGGAGGCGAGGGCGGCGAGGCGGGCGGCGTACTTTGGCAGACAGCCGTGGCGCCACGCCACCAGACAGTCCAGCGCCAGCTGCTGCACTGCCGGGTCTGGATGCACGAGAAACCTGCTTCATATGAGGGGGGAGGGGCGGGAGGGGCGGGTGGAGGTGGTGAGACGACGAGGCAGATGTAGGGGCAGGATTGAGGGCAAGTGGTGGGATGGTGGCACAGGATGGAGGACTGAAAGACGTAACTGGGGGGGCTAGGGAAATGCAAGAGGACGACGATGATAGAGGACGACGATGATAGAGGAAGGAAGATGATAGAGGAAGGACGGGACAGTCGAGAGTGGGTGGGGCAGGGCGGGTCAGGGCAGGGCAGGGCAGCACCTGTCGATGATGACATGCTTGAGTGATTCTCCCTTGGGGCCACACACTGTCAGCTCAATGCGCTTCAGCAGCTCCAGCCAATCAGAGAGCACCACGTGCCACTGCTTGCCCCTCACCATCGCTCTGTTCACCACCACCCCCTCCTCCGCCTCCTCGCCCTCCTCCCTGCCTGCCCCATCCGCGCCCCCTTGTATCATCTCCACTTGTCCTGTATGCGCTCTCCGCCTGAGGGGAGCAGCGGGGGTGTGGGTAGAGGAAAGGGAGATGAGTTGAGGGGGCACTGGGCCGGTGCCATTGTGAGTGCGCGGAGAGAGGGGGATGCGAGGAGCATAATGGACGAAAAGGGGCGCACGGGGGAGGCGATGAAAGAAGGGAACAACAAGAAATCACATGCTTTCGTGCAAACAAGGAGTGGAGCAAGGGGTGGCGTATGGGGCAAGGCAGGGAAGAAAGAGAGGGGCGTACAGGCAGTCATCGGAGTCGCCCACGAACGCCAGGAAGAGCACCGCCAGCTGCTGCCCCGCCATGCCACGCCTCTGCTGCCCACTCGCCAGGTCAGCAGCAGAGGTGCCCACACGCGGCGCAAGAGAAGTGCCCACAGATGGAGGCGGTGGGGGTGCAGGGGAGAGGCGCGTGGCGGCCACTGCTGCCGCCTGCCTGAGGGCGCGCAGCAACGATGAGAGCACTGCTGAGGGGGGGGCTCCTGAGGGCACTGCCATGGCAGAGCGCTGGAAGAGAGTCGTGATGCCTGCTGGACAGGGGCGGGGCGGAAGGGAAGAGAGTGGGGAAGGGAGGGAAGGGGGGGATGGGTGCAGGGGAGCACTAGTAGGGCAGTGCGACGTAGAGGCGGAGGCAGGAGAGGAGAAGGAATTAGAATGAGAAATGGCAAAGGCGGACTGGAGAAGAAACAGGGAGAGAGCGATGAGCAGGCTCGAGCAGAAGGAGTGGGGATACTAGCATGGATGAATTACGTGAAGGAGCCTTAGTGTTGCATCCCATGCCCCAAGCCCAAGTCACCCATGCCCTGTGCCCCATGCATGCACCATGCTCTGCTCCCCACACTATGCAGCCCTGTAAGGTGCCCCACCACCACTCACCTGCAGCACTGTCGCTGCCATCCTCCCCATCCTCATGCTCCCCCTCCTCCTCCTCTCCGCCCTCCCCTCCTTCCTCCCCTTGCCCTTCCCCTTGTGCCCCACCGCCTGACTCTGCAGGCGCACCAGCTGCAGTTAGGAGGAAGCTTCCTTGCAGGTGGTGCAGCTCCCGCCACACCACGGGCCAGGTGGAAGAGGGGTGGGCAGAAAGAAGCGCTGGGAGGGGGGGAGACGAGGGGAGGGGCAGGGAGACAAGGGGACAGGGCGAAGTGCGGAGAAGTGCCGAAAGATGAGGCGAGCAGGGGAAGAAAGCATGCAGGGGGCACAAAGGGATGGGGAAGGGGGGAGGGAATGAGGAGCGGAGCAGCATGGGGCGGACAAGGAAGACAAGGCAGAGAATGGGAGGTCAGAAGCAACGGGAAGGGAGGTGAGGTGAGGGAAGCGTGGAGACCAGAGGGTTGTGACGAAAGGGAAGTGACAAATGAGGGACTCACCTGCAAGGCAGCCAATGGCAGGCTGCCACATCATCGCAAACTTGGAGTGCAGCAGACCCAGCACACAGCGAGTGACAGCTGGCAGCAGCTGGTTTGGCAGCCGTGCTGACGTGGCATGAGCCGCGAGGGCAGCCAATGCTGTGGCAGCATGCCGGCCCATCTGCAGGTCGTAGGGGGCTGACTCCAGTTCTTCCATCTGGTGAAACACCTGAGAACAACAGAGGTATGGAGGGGTGGGGGGGCCGAAGGATGCATGTGAGCAGTGGTGAATGACCCAAACCCACATAGACCCAGCTGCACATGTGATCCCAACCGCACAGCACATGGCATGGCATGGCATGGCATGGCATGGCATGGCATGGCATGGCACGCACCAGACACGGCTCAGCGTCCTCTTGTGCGACCACCACCGCCCCCCCTGCTGCTTGCTCCGCCCTCCTCTTCCCCTTGCTCCTCCCCCTCGCCTCCCCCCCCTCCCCCCCCACCCGCACAAGCAGGGGGGAGAAGTGACAGATAATGCGCAACGATGCCACCCGCATTTCACGTGCTGGGTGGCAGAAGTTGTCCTGTAGTGCCTCGAGCATTGCAAGCATGTGGTTGGCTGTCAACTCAGGTGGGAAGGCGGGCAGAGATGCTGACGTGTCACCCACTTGAGCCCTGGTGAAACCGAGGAGAAACGAGGGAGCAAGTGAGAAATGGATATCTGAAGCAGACAGTTCATCTGAAGGGGCGTGTGCGAAACGCACATGGTACAAGGCGGATGGTGACGCGGTGACACGGAGAACACGTGGGGGAGATTAGATCAGGTGCACGAGATGGAAATGGAGTGCAGGAGTGGGGGATCGGGTGCACAAGGAGGTGGAGGGGGGGGAGTGCACGAGGGGGAGGGGCGCACCTGGGGAAGGCTTGGAGGAAGAGAGCAACGGCGGAAAGGATGGGCAGCGAGCGGCAGTGGTGGCGGGCGGCAGAGAGATAAAGCGGCAGGTGGCGGGGCAGGTGGGCGGCAGAGTGCGAGGAGAGCAGCAGGGAGTGGGTCTCCAGCGCTGCTGCCAGCACTCCCTCCCATGCCCCCCTCGCCCCCTCCTGCTGCTGCTGTTGCTGCTGCTGTTGCTGCTGGCCTTGGTGTGAGTCCGTGGATGCAACAAGAGCAGGGAGGGGGGCAGCAGCTGCTGCCCTCTCACTGCTCTCCTCGCCTTGCTGCCCCTTCCTCCTCTTGCGCACCCCCCCCTTCTCTCCCCCCTCGCCCACCTCTTCTTCTCGCCCCTCACCACTCTCTAAATCAAGGGACGCACCAAGCTGGCGTGACACATCAGCAATAACACGCTGACACAGCATCAGGTTGTCTTGCCACGTCATCACAGGCAATGATTTCAGGCATCGCACTGCCGCCCACACAAGAGCCTGCCTCGCACTCCCCCTCACCTTCTCACCCACTCCCTCCTCCCCTCTCCCCCCTCCTTTCTCCTCTTCCTCCCCCTCTCCCTCCACCCCGCCCTCCACCAGTCCTCCCACCAGCTGCTGCAGCCCTCCCCTCGCCTTGCCCTCCCCGCCCCTGCCACCCTGGTGCAGTGTGGAGGCAGCATGGCAGTCAGGAAGCTTCTCCGCAAGCTCCAGGAAGATGAGCAGCACGGGGGCGGAGTGTGATGCAGCCAGGCGGTTTAATGCGCTGCAGGGAAGGGAGGGAGAGGAATGGAGAGAGCGAGGGGAATGGAGAGAGGGAGAGGAATGGAGAGAGGGAGGGGGGGGAGGGGGGTGGTTTGGCAGAGTGGAGGTGGTTGTGTGAGGAGGAGGGCATAGTCTGGTGTGATGGCTTCATGGCGGCAATGCAGCAGTGCACGTGGCCAGGTGCAGGGAAAAGGCTGTGGCCCCAGCATGATTGAAGAAGTGTTTTGAGACGTCTCAAAAGGCTGTGGCCCCAGCATCAACAAACGGATATGTGCATGGGCGGACCGGGGGTAGAGTGTGGTTACCGCATGGTGGGGCGGACCGGGGGTAGAGTGTGGTTACCGCATGGTGGGGCGGACCGGGGGTAGAGTGTGGTTACCGCATGGTGGGGCGGACCGGGGGTAGAGTGTGGTTACCGCATGGTGGGGCGGACCGGGGGTAGAGTGTGGTTACCGCATGGTGGGGCGGACCGGGGGTAGAGTGTGGTTACCGCATGGTGGGGCGGACCGGGGGTAGAGTGTGGTTACCGCATGGTGGGGCGGACCGGGGGTAGAGTGTGGTTACCGCATGGTGGGGCGGACCGGGGGTAGAGTGTGGTTACCGCATGGTGGGGCGGACCGGGGGTAGAGTGTGGTTACCGCATGGTGGGGCGGAGCAGCAGGCGCAGCACGTGGGGTGACAGCTGTACGAGCTGTCGTAGGAACCACAGCATCCTGCCAGTGCCACGCCCCGCACGTGTTGAGCGCCCAACACCATTGGCACGTGGAGGAGAGTGGGGGTGGGAGAGAGGGAAAGGGAAAGAAGGAAAGTGGGGGGAAGGAGAGGGGAAGAGGGCATTTATTGAGAAACGAAATTAGTGAAAGCAGGAATGCAGGAACGAGACAGGGTCAGGCAGCCTAAGGGAACATGAGGAGGGGGGGGGGGGGGGGGATGAAACACATGACACTGACAGCAGAACCACTCACAGGGTGTCATTGCTACAATCAAACAGCACCTCCCACCGCGGCACCGCCCGCGCTATCTCCTCCCCCGCCTCGCCCTCCTCGCCCTCGCCTCCCCACTCCTGCCCCTCCCCTACCTGGCCTGCCCTCCTCCTCCGCTCCCTCCTCATCACCCCCAGCAGCAGCAGCATCACCTCCCTCACCAAATCACCCTGCACCTCACTCCCCCCCTCTCCTGCTCCTTCCCCTGCTGCCCCCTCGCCCTCCGGTGCATCCCCTGCTGCTCCTGCTGCTCTCCCCACCTCCTCCCCCGCCTCCCCCTCCACCCCTGCGTGCTGCTGCTGGGAGCAGGGAGTGGCGGAGAGGTGGGGCAAGGGGGAGGAGGAACGGAGGGACTCAAGGAGGAGGGGGTGGGAGGCGAGGGAGAGGGAGAGAGAGACGAAGGGGGAGAGGTGGGTGACAAGCATGCCTCGCCGGTGCTGCAGCGCTGCATTCAGCAAGTGAACCACGTCTGCTATCCGCCGCGCCTCCTCCCACCGCCCCCCGCCCCCACCCCCACCACCCTCCTTCCCTTCGGGTCCCTCCTCGCCCTCTTCCCCATCCCCTTGCTCCTCTCCTTTGCCCTCATCCTCCCCACCCACGCCTCCCTTGCACCCATCCCGCCGCCCCTGCACTGCTTGCGAGGCGCTTGTGAGGAGTAGGGTGAGCAGAGGGGCAGCGGTGGCGGGGGTGAGGTGGGCGGCAAGCAGGCGTATCACACGGGTGACAACTGTCAGTGCCACGTCAGCAGCATCAGCAGCTGGAGGGAACGACAGGGGAGGGGATGGGTGACATGGGGAGGGGGGCACAGAGGGAGGGGGGAATGGGGAGGAAGGGGGTTTGCTGTGTAGGCAGTGCTGCACACGCATGTCACCTCACCTCACCACGTGTCACCCACACCTTTCAACCATCATTGGACCTCCCACGAGCTCCATCAGATCAAAAGGCTTCCCACACGGCCCCAGCGGCCACACCCTCACACCCATTCGCCCCACAACACCACACACCCATTCGCCCCACAACACCACACACCCATTCGCCCCACAACACCACACACCCATTCGCCCCACAACACCACACACGCCTCCACCTCCCCACGTCACCCGTGCTCCCACCCACCCACGCCATGGGCTCACTCACCTCGCTGGCCCTGCAGCAGCAGCAGCGCCGGGGGGCGCAGGGAGGAGGGCAGCAGCAGCAGGCGCAGAAGCAGGGGCGCGGCCTTGGAGTGCAGCGAGTGCGCGGGCCCCTTGGCTGCATTGGCCAGCAGCAGCGCCACCCCGCTCTCCCTCTCCTCACTCACCACCGCCCGAGCCTCCGCTAGTACCCACCGCACCCCTGGGGGTGTCAAGGAAGGGAGGGTATGGAAGAAAGGGGAAGTGGGGAGAAGATGGATGATATGAAAGCCACACAACAAACGAAAACACGATGGCTGGCAACAACCCCTTGTCCCGTGCATGTATTCCTTCGCTAACGTCATCCTCCTTAATCTGTTACCTCCCCCGCAGACTCTCCCCGTCTTCCAGAGACTGCCACGCCCGTCACACTCGGCCCCCTTAACCATGCCAACCCCCACCCCCAACCCCATTCCCAACCCCACCCCCAATGATCTCTGCCCCCCCGTGTGCGCACCTCGGGCCATCTGTTTGGGCGGGGCAGTGCGCAGCACGAAGGCGAGGCTGTGCGCCACCAGCTCGCGCACATAGTCTGCCGGGTAGAACCGCAGTGCCTTGGTCATTCTGTTGTGGGGGAGGGAGGGGAGTGGGGGAGAGTGTGGGGAGAAAGGGCGCGGAAGAGAGGGCACAAGGGGGCAGGCATAGGGTATGAGGCGGTGAAGGGGTGGGGGGGGGGAGGGGGGGGGAGGGTGCAAAGGTGGGAAAGGAGATGGGGCGGAGCAGCAGCATCATGGGGTTTGAAGGAAAAGGGCGGGTTGGAAGCAAGCGACGCGAGGGGCAGGGCAGGTGAGAGACGGTAGGCGTGGGTGTGGTGGCGAGGGCCATGCAGCGAGCGAGGAGGGGAGGGTGGGGAGGGGAAGAGGCGGCTCACTTGAGGAGAGTGACGATGTGAGGTGTGAGGTAGTGGCGCAGGTGCTTCACCATCTGCGCCACACTCTCCACCACCTGCGGGCACAGGGGGGGCGCAGGGGAGATGCACAGGGGACGCAGTGGGGGAGAGGAACCGGTAGGAGCGAGGTGAATGTGGGCGGGTGGAGGGGAAGTGAGAGAGGAGGCGAAGGTTGGTCGTTCAGAAGCATGAAGAGAGTGGCACAGGAGGGCTCACCTGTTGTAGCACGGCGGCGTCTCTGTCCGCCCCTTGTTGCAGCAAGCGCAAGCAGGTGTCGAGGCAGAGAGGCAGGAATCTGTGTGCAGAGAGCAGAGAGGGGACAAGCAGTGGCAAGAGTGATTGGAGAGCAGAGAGGGGACAAGCAGTGGCAAGAGTGATTGGAGAGCAGAGAGGGGACAAGCAGTGGCAAGAGTGATTGGAGAGCAGAGAGGGGACAAGCAGTGGCAAGAGTGATTGGAGAGCAGAGAGGGGACAAGCAGTGGCAAGAGTGATTGGAGAGCAGAAGAGGCGTGGCGGGACAAAGACAAGGGGGCAGAAAGAATTCATGGGTTTGGGGTGCAGCAGAGAGGGGCGTGATGATGCATGAGGGGCGTGATGATGCATGAGGGGCGTGATGATGCATGAGTGGCGCGATGATGCATGAGGGGCGTGATGATGCATGAGTGGCGTGATGATGCATGAGTGGCGTGATGATGCATGAGTGGCGTGATGATGCATGAGTGGCGTGATGATGCATGAGTGTGGGAAACCCACCGTTACTCACACAGCATGCCACGCCCTCACATGGTCACACGGCACATCCCAACCCTGCTACTCCCTCATGCCATCCCCTCCCCTCCCAGCACGCCCCCTGACTGCACGGCCGTGGCAGCACTCACGGCAGGAAGTCGTGCTGCAGGTCCCGCGCGAGCGTGGATAGCAGGCTGTGCGCCCACAGTCGCATGGAGACACGCGGAAGTGGGAGACAGGGGGAGGGAAGAGGGGATTGGGGAGAGGGGCGAGGGGAGAGGGGAGGGCAGAGGGGAGGGGCGAGCAATGGTGAACGCGCAGATGTTGGAGGCAGTGCGCCACCAGAGGCAGCCCAATGGCGGCACATGAGGGAGAGGTAGCATGTGACGGGCATCAGAACGCGAGGGGAACTGGCACATACATGGTGTACTGAAATGCGTGGGGGGCGAAGGGGGGGAGAGGGGGAGAGGAGTGGGCACCTGAGGAGGGGTGGGAGGGAGAGGAGGGCGCGCATGGGGAGGCGTTGTAGTAGCGCGTGCACGATGCGGTGGCGGTGGAAGACGAGCTGCGGCAGCGACGCCACCAGCGGCGCCACCTCGCTGTGCACCTCGTTGAAATCCACCGCTGCACTCAGCTCCTGAGCGGGGTGAGGGGGGGTATGGGGGGACATGGGGGCATGGGGGGCATGAGGGGAGATGGGCGACGGGGGGGGGCATTAGAGGGTATGGGAGGGCATGGGGGATTATTGGGGGATATGGGGGTAATGGGGGTTCATGGGGAGTCCTGGGGGTTATGGTGGGCATGGGGGGTCATGTGAGGCATGCGAGGGAATGGTGGGGCATGGGAGGGTATGGGGGGCCATGGGAGGGTATGGGGGGGCATGGGAGGGTATGGGGGCGCATGGGGAGGCATGGGGAGCGGCGAGTGAGAAATGGGAGCCAGAGAGGCGAGGGTGTGAGGGGAGAAGAGGTGGCGGAGAGGGGGGGGGGACAAGGGGAGGGCGCGGGCGGGGACTGACCCGCCAGTGCAGCAGCGTCTGTTGGAAGAAGGAGGAGCAGCCGGCGGAGGGCTGCTGCTGCGCCGGCGCGAGCGAGCGGAAGACATCTACCTGCGCCTCCTCCACCTGCCGCGTGAAGCTCTTGAACTGCGGGGCGCGCGCAAGGCACAACGCGCACAGGGGGTTCGGGGTCAGGGGACAAGAGGAGGATGCATGAATGTCGGAGGATTTTGTTGAGATCCAGCATCAACTGAGTAAACGCGTGCAGGTCATACACTCTTCACGTACAAACCTAATATTTCTCGCTGTATTAGCCTTATTCGCTGTTTGAACATCACAACACCTTGCTGAACACGAGTTGTGACTTGGTCGTGTGTGATTTTATTGCGCTAGATATATTAGCTTCGAGTATGGCTCACCCTGAACCGTCGGGTGGGCTGCGAATGTTGTTTCTTCGACTCTCGTCCTTGCTTGCGCTTCCCCTTCTCCACCCGGCCCTTATCCTTCGCCATGGCTGCTCCTTACGCACAGTCCTGACGCGGGGGAAACCGCAGGTATCCACGCGTAAACTGCGGCAATTAATCAATCAGCACGCTGTATTCTGCGTGGCCTAACTAAACAACAATCCACGCGTTAATATTGCGGCAGGAAAGACATCTCGGCTTGTGGAGGTTTTAGGGAAAAATCTCGAGGTTCAAGGCTTGGGGGTCAGCCTTCGCGCTCAATGGCGGGGAGCAGTCTATTCAGCATAGTAGCTCAAGCATGACAGTGTATTGACGGGCTTGAAGTGTACAATCTGAAATTCTTTCGGTAAACAGATTTCAATGAGTCTGGATATCTATGAACTGGTGTATTGGACGGTTTTTGAGTTGTCGAAACGCGTGAATTTAGCTTTGGCATGTAGCACCACCCTCTGGAAACCCGTTCTTCCAAACTACGCAATCCATCATGCAATGAACTGTACATAACTGTGTATGAAGCATGGCCTAGAAAACCGAAGGTAATTCTTGATTCAGGGCCTATTTTGCGTTTCGGGCTACCATTGGGCAATTTTAGGTACCGGGTGCTACAGATCAGAACCTGTATCTGTTGAAAGTTGCTTGCAAATTCAATATCTTCAGACCGAACATTCAACATATAAAGTTCCTCTCTAATAAACTGATTGAAAGCAGAACTGTAGTCGCACGGTGTTTGGCTAACCCACAGACACAGGCCGTAAAGGCAGGTTATTCACAACAAAACTGTGCAAGGGAGAAATTTACAGTTAGCCCACCCCCCACCACCACCCACCACACACGCGTTAGAGAGTATCGGCACGCGTGCTCATCACGTGAATATGTTTCATCATTTCCACATTAACGACAGACGAGAGTGCTTTGGCTTTTCCTTGTTTCATGCTCGTGTGCCCCGACAGTTGACAGAACACTGAAGTTTGACGGGATTAATTTTACGTCAAGGGTGATCGTGTTTCGGGAACTTTAATGGGGTTATTCTTACAGAATGCCTTTTAGTTGTAGTTTCAGTGGAGGTTGGCGGTAGTAATAGACAGACTTCTAGAGTACAAGTATACTGTACGATATATTTCATTCACACTGTTCCTTAAAGAACCCCAGTTATGCATGGCCAAATTTCGTGTTTCCACATCAAACCTTCCTAATCAGACAGGCTTGCAAAAGTGTGGGGTGGGGGACCGTCTGGATGGCTCCTGGGACAAACTTTAATCAGCCACTCCCACCAGGGAAATTGGGGGTTCGGCTGGGTTGAGTGACCCCTAGCCAGCCACTTGCTGCGCCTCTTCCCTTCATCCCAGCCACATTGAGCTGCAGCGTGCTGCATGCGCAATTAAGGCACACGACAGCACACCACCCTTTTCATTGCAGCAGTTGCGGCGGGGAGATGAGTTTCACTGATTGCATCAGAACAGCCTGAGATGGCATGTGAGCTGTTCTCTCTGCATGAACCCTACCTACATTCGAGACCTTGTTGCTGCAGCACCTCCACCACCCTTATCTCTGCAATTCACACTCTTCCAGCTTCCAAAAACTGGCGTCGTCACACTTGCGAACCTCCTCGTCACGCAACCATGTTTGCCTTCCAAATCTGAATTATCTTATCCCAAGCTTGTGCAGTCGGAATCCGTGATTCGCGTTGCCGTTCCCGAGTCCAAGAGTCAGCTGCTCCGCGTCCTCCATGGATCAAGTCATCACCACCTCTCGGACATCCCTCACTCCCTGCGACCGCGGAATTTTGGATGTTTCGCCGTCCGCACGTGCCTCGGCGCGGAGTCACTCCCGGGAAGCGCCGGATGACCGTAGGGTGTCTAAACGGCCGCGGACGGACAGCGAGCGGGATGACAGCGGCAGCAGTGCCGGAGATTTCCTTTCAACCCACCTGATTCCCGCTAACCAGCGGGCTTTACTAGGGCGGAGTGAGTCTGCGGGTAGTAGCATGGATTCGCAACGCAGCAGCGTGAGGGTCGGCGTTAGAACGGGCGACAACGAGCGATTGAGGTGCTTCAGCGAGCCTGCGACACCAGACGGCGCGCGGCAACGAGAAGCGGTGCAGGCAGCGAGTCAGTCGGAGGGTGAGCAAGCCATGGGAGGCGCGGAGGCAGCGGCTGTCGTGAAGGGGTATGCGACAACACCGCGCGGCCAGGTTCACTACCGCAGGTACGCTACTGCGAGACAACTCACAACGTTTTTTGCTTTTCTCCCCGCTAGAGCTTGGGTCTCATATCGTTTTGTGGGCGGTTCGTGGCGTGTGCTGTGTGCAGATGCGGATCCGGCCATCCGGTGGTGTTGCTACACGACGCGGGGCGATCGTCCGCCATGTGGGCGCCTGTGCTGCCGCTGCTCGCCGCACGCGGGTGCTGCGCGTTGGCCGTGGATCTGCCGGGGTGCGGCGAGACGACGGCGGCGTGTCGCGACTACAGCATTCTGGAGATGGGCGCCATCGCCGTCGCCGCCGCCATCAACGTCGGCTTCACGCAACGCTTCGACCTCGTGCGTGCTCCTTCACCCGCCCCATCCTTGCTCGTTGCAGAAAAATAAACTGCTCGTCATCTCTGTTTGATGTTTTTTTCTTTGCACACCTCAAGCTTATTTCGGTTCACCTACCCTCGTCCGCTCGCCTCCTTACCGCGTTCCCCACCCCGTCTCCTCCTTTCCTCGCGACGTCTGCTTCCTATTCTCGCCATGCTGCAGGTTGGCCATGGATTCGGGGCGAGCTTAGCACTGCAGATGGCGGCGGTGTTCCCTGCGCGGGTGAGGCGGGTGGGGCTGTGGGGCGTCATGCCGCAGGACGAGCGCTCCAAGCACTTCGCAGCTGCCGTGCAGGCAATAAGCGCGGGGGGTGGGGATGGGGATGGTGCGGCGGCTGCTGCTCCTCAGAGCGTGGTGGCGGTGGCAGTGCAGCAGATGCTGATGCGCAGTACAGCCCACCATGTGCCTCTTCATCAACTCGTAAGTCACCTCCCCTCGCCCATAAACCACCCGAAACATTTTCTGCACAACCTTTTTCCTGCTCTTTTTCTTGCGTCGCCTGATTGTGTGCTCATGCATTGTCCTGCATTATTTGTTCTCCCATGACCTCTCCACCCTTCAGGTTGAAGAGGTGATGGAGGGCGTTCAGTCACTGCCCACGCGCCACCTGCTCGCCAAGGCGCATGCAGCAGTGGACCACGGGGATCTGCTAGACAAGGTGCAGCAGCCCGTGCTGTGCCTGGCGGGCTGTGACGACCCCTTCCAGTTTGAGACAATGATGGCAGCGTCAAGGATGGGCAAGGGAAAATACTACCACATAAATTCAGCTGGCACTGAGGTGCTTCAGACTCATTCGGAGCAATATGTGGAAACGTTAATGGAGTTCCTAGGGTCACAATGACCATTAGATCGTGTACAGTAGGCTAGGTCGAGCATGTAAGATGAATGCAGTATATGCAATTTCTTGCCAGCTGTATATCGAGTATCTTCATCTACAAACTGTGCTTTTGTATTCATGCGTTCCTTTATTATGTCTTCACAAGCTTCACGCACCCACTCCTTTTGGCATCGATTGTGCAAACACGTGTACGTTGAACTGGGATCTCTGTCACATGGAGCCACGCGGCAAACCTTGGTTGCTGTCATACAGGCAGCAACAGCGTGGCACTAACACGTCAGCTTTTGAATGAACGAGTTCCTGAATCCGACCATGTGGGCAAGCATGAGATGTCTGCATCGATTCCTGTCACATTTCGTTCATTCGCACCCAAGCTGAGAGCAAAGCACCAACACAATTCCATCCATATCTGAGCCATTCTTGATTTTTCCGACATTCTGTTCGCTCCTTTCAAGATCTCCGTTCCTCACTCCTCAGGTCAGTCGCCTTCCCTTCTTCGCCTCGCACCCCTCACTTCATCCCTCGTTCAGCTATGGCTGCCGCCACCTTGTCTTCTGCCCTGCGACTGACCGGTACCGCGTGTGCCGCGCGTATCTCGCGCTCCTCCGCCCTCCACACAGCCGCTGTCTCCTTCAAGCAGGGTACCCCAGCCGCCGGATTCTCCGGCGCTCGCCTCCGCGACATCCGACGGTCTGCGACGCCTTCTCACGGTCAGACGACTCGGCGACACATGGCGACCGTTGCGACGATCAAGGTCGGCGACAAGCTGCCCGACGGCAGCCTCTCGTACTTCGACGCCGAGGGCGCGCTTCAGACCATCACCATCGAGTCGCTCACCAAGGTGAGTTTAACGCGGATGCCGCATCCTCGGTGTTTGTTTTATGTTGCGATGGAATTGAAATTGGACGGGCCGGATGAGTGACGCAGCTGCCTCGCCGAGTCACCTCGTCGCCGAGCCCAGAATTCATTGGAAACTGTGTAAATGCTCCAACGCATGAGCAACAATGCGGGTACCGAACGCCATGGCTGCTCAAAGATTTCACTTATCACACTTGCGTCCATCGCGTCATGCCTCACTCCAACCTTATCGAGCCACAATCCGTTCTCGTCGTTCCTCCCCACCAGCGTCGATTCCCTTCCCACTCCCTTCTTGCACCCACCCTCACACCCACTTTCCCCCAATTTCCCGCTCCCCCTTCCCCCTCCGCCTTCCGCAGGGCAAGAAGGTGGTGCTGTTCGCGGTGCCGGGCGCGTTCACGCCGACGTGTTCGCAGAAGCACCTGCCGGGGTTCATCGCCAAGGCGGACGAGCTGCGCGCCAAGGGCGTCGACACCATCGCGTGCGTCTCCGTCAACGACCCCTTCGTCATGCGCGCCTGGGGCGAATCCGTCAACGCCGCCGGCAAGGTGCTGCTGCTCGCGGACGGCAGCGGCGTGTACACGGCGGCGCTGGGCGCGAGCCTGGATCTGGCGGACAAGGGGCTGGGCGTGCGGTCGCGGCGGTACGCGCTGCTGGCGGACGACGGCGTCGTGACCGTGCTCAATTTGGAGGAGGGCGGCGCGTTCACCAACAGCAGCGCCGAAGACATTCTCAAGGCGCTGTGACCCGCGCTCACCGATGCTGCAGCGGCTGGTGCGGGGAGAGGCGATGCGTGGAAGGGAGTGGCTGGTTGGAGCCACAGGGGTAGCATCCTGTCTAAATCTGTGTAAATTTTGACCATCCTGTCAACGTTTTATAAGTTAGCCTTAATATATTTGACCACGCATTGCACACCCTGTCTAATGTGGCCGGAGGGGTGCATGCCTCTCTTAGCTCAACAACATGAAGAAGAATACTGCACTCCTGTCAGCCACTGCCACGCTCTGCACTGTCCCTGTCCCTGCCTCCTCCACTGCTCTGCTCTCACATGCCAACGACGATGCAGGTTGAACCACTACCACATAATGTAAAGCAGCAACGAAACGACATGTTAGCAGCGCCAATGTTTACGGGCGTGCAAGAGTCATGATGAACTGTAAATGTAGGACCAAATATATTGATAAGGTGCACCTAAGTGCAACATATGGTAATATGGTAGACAGCAACATCATGACAGCACGGTTAGTTTTCACAGGTGTGCAGAAGGCGGCCCACAAGGTGCCTGAGAATGTACTTCTTCATCATGCGATACCTCAGTATCACCTCCCACTCGCCCAGCTCCCTCACATACTCCGCACCGCACTGCACCACTTCCGCACCATCCCCACCACCCTTATCACCCTCCTCACCCCCCTCCACCGCACCGAACAGCACACGCGCCTTGCACACATGCACCTGCCGCCACAGCTGCAGGTCCTCCCCCAGGGTCGTCGGGAACTCTTTGAGCAGCTGCTGCCCTCGCTCCACCAGCACGTTGCCAGCTGGCGGCACCGCGTCCGACACGTCATCGTCCACGAGGCGCGCCAGGTCATCGCAGGTGGTCTTGGGGTCCTTCATCCACCCGTACAGCAGCGACACCTGTGCCACCTGGCTCAGCCGGCTCTGCTCCCATGCCACCCCAGGGGGAAGAGAGGGGAAGGGGGAAGGGGGAAGGGGGAAGGGGGAGAAGGGAAGGGGGGAAAGGGAAGGGGGGAAAGAGGGAGCGGGAAGCAGGAATGGGGTCGCGGGGGGAAACAGAAGACAGAAGGTGGTTATGAGACCAAATCTGGGTTCAGATGGTGTGGAGTGTGCTGATGAGAGAGGTAGACGTGCCGTGCAAACCAATCAATGTTGATCGAAAACCGACAGGCATAACAAGCAAGTAGAGGGCGAGTGAGGAGGAGGGGGGCAAAAGGGGAGAGCGTTGGAGAGAGAGAGAAGAGAGGAGAGAGGGAGAGAAAGCATGGAGGCCGTGGAGGGTGTGGAGCACGGACTGCGGTTGTTGACGACGAGGGCGTGCAGAGCAGTGAAGATGCCCAGCAGGCGCGGGTCAAAGCGCCCGCCGAACCATGCGGAGAGGGGGCTGCCCGGTGCCATGCGGTACTCAAAGCGCTGCGCCACGCCCGCGTACTGCGGTGCCGCTGCCTGGCGCTGCAGCTCTGCCTCCACGCTCTCAAACGTGCCCTGCAGGGGCGTCTGTGGGGCGTATGGGTGAAAAGCCCGTAATGGGAGTGAGTGGCGAGCAGCAAGAATTCGAATTCATGCCGTTCCCCTGTGTCACCTACCCTACACAGGCAACAGCCTGCCTCCAAATCCACTCAACCCCCTCTCACCCTCTTCATCCACCCGTACAGCAGCGACACCTGTGCCACCTGGCTCAGCCGGCTCTGCTCCCATGCCACCCCAGGGGGAAGAGAGGGGAAGGGGGAAGGGGGAAGGGGGAAGGGGGAGAAGGGAAGGGGGGAAAGGGAAGGGGGGAAAGAGGGAGCGGGAAGCAGGAATGGGGTCGCGGGGGGAAACAGAAGACAGAAGGTGGTTATGAGACCAAATCTGGGTTCAGATGGTGTGGAGTGTGCTGATGAGAGAGGTAGACGTGCCGTGCAAACCAATCAATGTTGATCGAAAACCGACAGGCATAACAAGCAAGTAGAGGGCGAGTGAGGAGGAGGGGGGCAAAAGGGGAGAGCGTTGGAGAGAGAGAGAAGAGAGGAGAGAGGGAGAGAAAGCATGGAGGCCGTGGAGGGTGTGGAGCACGGACTGCGGTTGTTGACGACGAGGGCGTGCAGAGCAGTGAAGATGCCCAGCAGGCGCGGGTCAAAGCGCCCGCCGAACCATGCGGAGAGGGGGCTGCCCGGTGCCATGCGGTACTCAAAGCGCTGCGCCACGCCCGCGTACTGCGGTGCCGCTGCCTGGCGCTGCAGCTCTGCCTCCACGCTCTCAAACGTGCCCTGCAGGGGCGTCTGTGGGGCGTATGGGTGAAAAGCCCGTAATGGGAGTGAGTGGCGAGCAGCAAGAATTCGAATTCATGCCGTTCCCCTGTGTCACCTACCCTACACAGGCAACAGCCTGCCTCCAAATCCACTCAACCCCCTCTCACCCTCTTCATCCACCCGTACAGCAGCGACACCTGTGCCACCTGGCTCAGCCGGCTCTGCTCCCATGCCACCCCAGGGGGAAGAGAGGGGAAGGGGGAAGGGGGAAGGGGGAAGGGGGAGAAGGGAAGGGGGGAAAGGGAAGGGGGGAAAGAGGGAGCGGGAAGCAGGAATGGGGTCGCGGGGGGAAACAGAAGACAGAAGGTGGTTATGAGACCAAATCTGGGTTCAGATGGTGTGGAGTGTGCTGATGAGAGAGGTAGACGTGCCGTGCAAACCAATCAATGTTGATCGAAAACCGACAGGCATAACAAGCAAGTAGAGGGCGAGTGAGGAGGAGGGGGGCAAAAGGGGAGAGCGTTGGAGAGAGAGAGAAGAGAGGAGAGAGGGAGAGAAAGCATGGAGGCCGTGGAGGGTGTGGAGCACGGACTGCGGTTGTTGACGACGAGGGCGTGCAGAGCAGTGAAGATGCCCAGCAGGCGCGGGTCAAAGCGCCCGCCGAACCATGCGGAGAGGGGGCTGCCCGGTGCCATGCGGTACTCAAAGCGCTGCGCCACGCCCGCGTACTGCGGTGCCGCTGCCTGGCGCTGCAGCTCTGCCTCCACGCTCTCAAACGTGCCCTGCAGGGGCGTCTGTGGGGCGTATGGGTGAAAAGCCCGTAATGGGAGTGAGTGGCGAGCAGCAAGAATTCGAATTCATGCCGTTCCCCTGTGTCACCTACCCTACACAGGCAACAGCCTGCCTCCAAATCCACTCAACCCCCTCTCACCCGCTCCAGCGTGTGCCCGTAGCCGCGCAGAAACTTGTCAACGTGGAAGCCAAGGGCGTCCTGGGGCGAGGAGAAGAGGTGCAGGTGGTCGCGGTAGTTGCCGCCCAGCACCATGGCGCGCATCACCAGCGCCTCATCGTTGCTCAGCTCCCCGTAGTGCACTGACACATGCTGACCCGGTGGGATGTCTGTTAACGCTGTGAAATCTATGCTGCTGCCCGTGTCCTGGTGGGGGGAAGAGGGGAGAGGGGAATGGGAAGGAGGAGAAGAGGCGGTAGTTGCCCCCCAGCACCATGGCGCGCATCACCAGCGCCTCGTCATTGCTCAGCTCCCCATAGTGCACTGCCACGTGCTGCCCCGCTGGGATGTCCGTCAGCGCCATGAACTCTATGCTGCTGCCCGTGTCCTGATGAAGGGGTTGGGGGTTGGGGGGGTGGGTGGAGGGGAAAGAGGGGATGCGTCTTGAGTCGTTGCTCAGCTCCCCGTAGTGCACTGCCACGTGCTGCCCCGCTGGTATGTCCGTCAGTGCTGTGAACTCTATCCTGCTGCCCGTGTCCTGGTGGGGTTAAAGGAGTTGGGAGAGAAGGGAAGAGGGGGTGGAGAGGGAGGCGTGAGGTGTGGCTGCACGAATGCCCTCAGACTGGATTGCTGCCACGTGGCAACGCACTGCCCTGCCACGTGGCAAAATACTGACCTGCCAGATGGCGATGGGCACGTCATCGGTGTCAAAGAGGTCCCCATACGGCACCAGCGATATGTCTGCCTCCTGCCTCTCCTCCTCGCCCTGCCCCTCCCCCTCATTCCCCTTGCCCTCTCCCTCTGCTGCTGCAGCAGGCCTCAGCGCAAACATGCGGGAAGTGACGATCCCTGCCGCCCAGAAGAACTCCTCCTGGGTGGCATTGGCGATGGCCTCTGGGCGGCACTTGTTGTACTCTTGCAGGAGCGCCTTCTTGTGTTCCATGACCTGTGCGCAGCAGGGAAGGAGGAAAGAGGAGATAGCATGGGAGACAGGGCAGGGGAGGCAGAGCAGGGGAGGCAGAGCAGGGGAGGCAGAGCAGGGGAGGCAGAGCAGGGGAGGCAGAGCAGGGGAGGCAGAGCAGGGGAGACAGGGCAGGGGAGGCAGAGCAGGGGAGACAGGGCAGGGGAGGCAGAGCAGGGGAGACAGGGCAGGGGAGGCAGAGCACGGGAGGCAGAGCAGGGGAGGCAGGGCAGGGGAGGCAGAGCAGGGGAAGATCTAGAGGTACCTCGGGCAGCGCAGGATGTGAGGTTGATTGTGGCATGTACCATACGCTGCACCGCCCCCTCATACGCTGCACCGCCCCCTCATACGCTGCACCGCCTGCTCATACGCTGCACCGCCCGCTCATACGCTGCACCACACGCTCATACGCTGCACCACACCCTCATACGCTGCACCGCCCGCTCATACGCTGCACCGCCCGCTCATACGCTGCACCGCACGCTCATATGCTGCACCGCTTGCTCATATGCTGCACCGCCCGCTCATACGCTGCACCGACCGCTCATACGCTGCATCGCCCGCTCACACGCTGCACCGCACCCTCATACGCTGCACCGCACCCTCATACGCTGCAGCTCTGGCACGAGCTGGGGGCGGAAGAGGTGCAGCCATGCCATTCTGAGGCGGAGTAGCTTCAGCATCATTCCCACCCCCCAGCGCCCGCCCTCACCTCGGCCAGCATGACGTCATACTGCAGCTCTGGCACGAGCTGGGCGCGGAAGAGGTGCGGGAAGGGCAGGTGGGCGGGCAGCAGGCGCACGAAGGGCGCCCACAGGGACGCGCGCCCCTTGGCTCGCTCCCTCAACACCCACGCCGCCAGCGCCGTGAATGGATGCACCTGGGGGGGGAGGGAGGGGTTGGGTAAGGGGAGAGGCAGTTGAGGGGAGGGGAATGGCCGCTAGCGCCGTGAATGCATGCACCTGGGGGAGGGAGGGGGGGGGAGAGGAGGGGGAAAGGCAGAGATGTTGAGGGGAGGGGAATGGCTGCTGGGTGAAGAAGGCAGAGAGATGTTTGTGGGGGTGGGGAAGCAAATGGCAGCGCCGTGAACGGATGGGATGGCAGGCAGGGTTGCACATAGAGGTGCAGGCAGGGATGGGATCATGTGTAGCGCGGAAAAGAATTTACCGTGATGGGGCAACAAGACATCACATTCGAGTTGGTTACCGAGAGGATGCTGCTCGTTCTCACCTCCCCCCTGTGTTCCTCGCCCTGCTCTCACCTCTCCCTCGTACGGCTTTGCCTCCTCCTGTGCTTGAAGGGCAGAGACGGTGAACGAGCGAGGCAGCGACAGGAACACCTCGCCCTCCGCGATGGGGCGACGAGCCACCATGCACAGATTCGCCCTGCCGGTGATGTGGTGGTGGGGGGAAGGAGGGGACGAGGCGGGTGGTGAAGAGAAGGTGCGAAACTTCTGAGAAACTTACCAAGTGAGTTGTGCTGGGAAGTGTGGTAACGGGCAGGATAGAGAGAGCGGATTGGGGATCTCTGACTGTGAAGAGCCGCCATGTTTGACCTGATGCTTGTTTGCATTGACTCGCATTGACTCGCTCACCTTGACTTGCGTTGACTGGCGTTGACTCACCTTGACCTGCCGGACGCCTTGAGAGTGGTGTTGGCGTCAATGACCACCTGCATGCGTGCACGAGAGTGGTGTGGAGGGGACGTGAGGACGAGAGGACGCGTGGAGAGGGCGGCAGGGAGGGCGGCGGCCGTTGAGGGTGGCAGGGAAGAAGAGAGCACAAGTGTGCATGAGTTGCAGCGGGTGGAATGCAGGGAAGTAGCACGGGGAGGGTGTAGCGGGAAAGGCACCATTGCATGCAGCAGTTGTGGAATGAGCACACCCCTCTTCCCACCGCCTCACCGCACCTCCAACTCTCCACACGTCCCCTCATCGCCTTTTTGTTGCAGGCGCTCCTTTAGAATTCTCAAATCACTACCTCATCCCGTCCACAGCTCCCAATTTCTGAGTCTGACTCACAAATCCACACAGCCCCTCAATTGCCTCACCTCCACAGCGGCCTCCTCCCCTCGGATCCCTGTCACGCCTCTCTCCTCCAGCCACGTCAGCAGCTCGTCCACCAATCGCTCCTCCTCCTCTACTCCCGCCAATCTAGGATCGAACTCTGCCTGCCCCGCCGCATCCGTCGCCGCATCTCTCGCCGCATCTGCCGCCGCATCTACCGCCGCATTCGCCGCTGGGAGATCTTCAGTGGACACAAACTGATCCGCTATCCCCAATCCCATTCCCGCGTCCGCCACGCCACCATCCGCGGCGGCGGCGGCGGCGGCGGCGGCGGCAATGCTCGAGTGGGAGGCATCGCCGCCGTCGGGTGGATGCGACGCGGAAGCTGCGGAGGGGGCGAGGAGGTCGAAGAGGGCGACGAGCAGTAGCAGGCGCACGGCGCGCGACGACGAGCGCAGGATGGCGCGGGTTGGAGGCGGCGATGCGCGACGGGCGCGCGCCATGCGGCACGGCGACATTAGTAGCAAGGGGCCAGGAGGGAGGAGCGCGAGGAGGGAGGGAGGAGGGGGGATCGAGGGAGAAGGCGACACGGTGTCGGGAGGGTGCGTGGTATGTGGCGGAATGGTGAAAGAAAGGCTGGATTCGCTACTTGATAGACACTCACCGGAATGCTGCTTCTGGAATTGATGATCATTCCGTATGTAAGGATTTACAAATCCTTACTGAGGCACTCTTTAGCGAGGTCATCCCGAGGGTCACGCGACGAACCTGTTCGGCCTATTTCGTCGCACTTAACCACCCCCGAGTCGACCTCCGCCCCAATCGCAACATCACCGAGCCATCCATTCCCGACCTCTCCGCCTAGCTAGCTTTTCCCCTACTTAGGTCTCGTCACTTTCACTGTATGGTCATGCAGTATTCAACCATCCTCGTTATTCGTTATTCTGCGCACTCTGCAAGTTCATTCATAACACCTGGTATCAGGGCTACTTTCCTAGCCTACCCCGCTTTTTAGAGTGTAATACACCTCGGGGGGGGGACAGGGAAGGATGTCTTGGGGTCCAAGAGTTGCGTAGGCCGGCCAGGAGAACGAGCTAGTTGCTCCTCGCTACCATAATCTTATGGGCACTCCTTCGGCACCGCCAGGTCCTTGCCTCGAACAGTCACGATCGACCGTGGCCTCCCTCCCCCTCGGGCAACGGACAGCTGTAGCTGTCGCGACATTAAAGTGAGTAATTTCCGCTGCGATTTCCGACGATTTCGGAGCTTGATTCGTGTGGCAGCTGGCATCAGCGGACCTGCGTCGGCATCTGCATGAATAACATCGACGTCGTCACTGTGTGTGGCTATTGACGCCGACGGACCTGAGTCAACGGCTGCGCGACGATTTCGGGATCGTCCTTACGCGACAAGTTGACGTCGGTGGCACACGTCAACATGTGCGCGAGATTTTCGGGAGATCCTCGGCAGCTGGCGACAACGGGCCTGCATCAGCATGGGCGACATTTTCGGAGCAACTGTGGAGAAAAAGTCGGCTGGGGAACTCGCCAGGCGCAAATGGAGTTTTGCGTCCGAAAATGTCGATGGCATCGGTGAACGGCACGCGAACTACCCGATTCATGCGGGGTCAACTGCCGTCGAGCCCGACCTGAAGTGCAGCGGCTTTTACTGCATTGGCGGGCGTGTCATCGAATATTTTCGGCAGAAGTGCTCGTGGACAGACGGGACTTCAGACTCGCCGACACTTACGGGCTGCAGCGAAAAGCGGAGTGGCCTTATCGCACTTAGCAGAAGTGGGACGCAGGCGGTGAGGGAAATCGAGGCAGGTACACCTCGGAAACAACTCGTGCGACACTGCGTGCCTGGTGTTGTTGGAAGCTGGCCGACAGTATCGAGAGCGGTTTCTCCTGACCAGGGAATTCGTTTTCGGGGACAGCTGCTGACAACCCACGATTAAACGACGTCCAAGGTACCGCTTGACAATTTCAGAGGGGTCGATACAGGCTGCCGGGACATACGAGCAGAAACGGCCCAACGGCTAAGCGAGGGTTGAAGAACGTCGTAGGAGCAGATTAAAAGCCGGTGGAACCGATCTGCGGCCTACTTCGCCCGAACCTCACCATCCCCACCAAGTCCTGGTTCTTACTCATGCAGTCAACCTACTTGGCCGAATAACGGGGGTGGACACGCGCCTACCCTGTGCCGGTTAAAGACACTTGGATTGGTGTTTGTTCGACAGTTGTACAGAAAAGACAAAAAAAGTGGAGTTCGCTGTCAGAATAATGAACGAGAATGAATGAACTAGCAAAGAGTTGAGTACAAGTACTAACCCTAATTGGGTTGTACCCCTTATGGGCTACCCCACTACAGCCTACACAAATGTAAGCTATATATAAGTTTGACACACCCCCATAGGCTAAGTGGGGGGGGAACAAGTGGTCACAAGACCAGTCAAGAAAAGCAAAGCAAGCTCAGGGTGGATCACAAAGTCACCACACAGTCCGAGCACAAGCAAAGGCCACAAGGCCAGTTCACATGCAGAGTTATATAAAGGAGAACAAACAATACAGTGGTCATACCCTAGCAAGTGCAAGCATGCAGGTGTATATATAGATCACAGTACAAGCAAAGTCACACAGTAAGCAAGTGTGGCAAAGTAGGCACAATGCCTAACACAGTAGAAAAGCGTTGATGATCACCAGGCGCAAGTGCCTTGGTGAATACATCAGCAGTGTTGGCCCGAGTGGCCACGTACGCAAGACGAAGCTGGCCACACTGCTGCAACTCTCGAGCAAGGAAGTACCGCAGAGCGATGTGCTTCGTTATGTGCTCCAGTCTGTGCTCCTGACACAAGGCAATCATGGCCTTGTTGTCTACGTACAAAACTGGAGGAGAACGAGGCGCCTCTCCAAAGTCGGTCAGCAGGTAGGTGAGCCAGCGTAACTCCTGTGCAGCCATTGCCCCAGCGTAGATCTCAGCCTCACAACTGGAGCTGAGAACAGAAGATGAGCGGGTAGACTGCCAAGAGACAGAACCGGAACCAAGACTGAAGGTGTAACCCTGTGACGACCGCTGCGTAGCCAAGTCGTCAACCCAAGAGGCGTCTGCGTGACCAGTGAGGACAACTCGAGCCCGTCCTCCAAGCACGAGCCCCATGCCCGACGTACTGCACAAGTAGCGCAACACCCTCTTCGCAGCATCCCAGTGCACCTTTCGGTGCCTACCGGGAGCCACGTAGCGAGCCAGGAGGCTAAGAGGGAATGCGAGGTCAGGTCGTGTGCACGTCATCAGGTACATGAGGCAAGCCACAAGCTCTGGGTACGGACCACTCGGCTCTACGGACTCGTCCGACGGTGGAGCTGAGAGCGAGTGGCAGGTAGACAGAGGAGTGGGCTGTGGCGAGGAGAACTGGAAGCCGAAGCGTTGAAGGACCTGGTGCACCATGTGTGACTGAGTCAGTGTGATGGTGCGGCGTGCTCTGTCCCGGGTGATCTGCAAGCCAAGATAGCTGCGCAGTTCACCCAGGTCAGTGCAGGTGTGTCTCTTCTGTAGCTCCGACTTCACAAGGGTCAGTGCCTCAGTGTCAACAGTGGCAAAGACGAGGTCGTCGACGTACACGAGGACGTAGAACGGCGGCAGCGAGGTGTCGGTGCGTAAAAACAGCGACGGGTCAGCAGTAGAAGGAGCGAACCCAAGAGTCGCAAGTGTAGTCCTCAGTGTGTCGTGCGCCTCACGAGGCGCTTGGTGAAGACCGTAGACTGGCCGGTGGAGGCCCCACTGGGTACCTGCAGGAAACGACCCAGTGAAGCCAGGTGGGCGGCGCAACCAGATCTCCTCGGACAGCCTGCCCTGTAAGAAAGTTGTGCTGAAGTCCAGAGAGTGCAACTCGTAGTCACGCTGAGCAGCGACGTGCAGCAACACCCAAAGAGTAGTCATCTTTGGGGTGGGGGAGAAGGTATGGAAGTAGTCAACCCCCTGTCGCTGACTGAAGCCTCGAGCAACGTAACGCGCCTTGAAGGCAGGCGGAGAACCCGGCGGCTGCTTCACCCTGAAAATCCACATGCCATCGGCTATGTTTGCCCCAGGTGGGGGAAACCTCGTTGACGTAGGTGCCTGTGGACTTCCAGGATGCCATCTCAGCATCCATGGCTGCCTGCCAGTGAGAGGAGTAAAGACCCGTGATCGCCTCTGCGTAAGAGCGTGGGGTCGGGATGTCTGGTGCATCCGGGTCTCCCTCAGGGGCAAGCAGCATGGAAGCGAAACGAGGTACAGCAGCTGCAAGACACTCAAAGTCCTCCTGCCTGTCCTCAAGGACGTCCGTGCTACGAGCACACTCACCCCCGACGGATGGAGGACTGGCAGACGCAGACTCAGCAACAAGAGCAGTGGCGTAGTCTAGACGACACACAGCAGCAAAGTCAAGCAGCCCAGCAACGAGGGCAGACGCAGCAGCAGACTCAAAGGAAGGGTCAGTGACAGCAGTGGCGAGGAGACGAGAGACAGTGGGACTGGCAGCACGAGCGCGGTCAGACTCAGGGTCAAGGACCTCAGGAAGAGAGGACTCAAGAGAAGCAGGCAAAGGAACACGCAGTGGAACAGAGGAAGGACGAAGTTCCATAGCGTGCGCGCCGGGGACAGGAGGAGGACGCGAACGAGGAACGCGACGAGCAGTGCGAACAGGCGAGTCAGGACGAGATGCAGGCTCACGACGCTCTGTAAGACCGCCGGACTGCTCAGTGTAAGGAGAAGGAGCAGGCTGTGGGGAGGCCGGCAGTAACGGCAGCTGCGACTGGTCAAGCGGTGGACACAGGAGGGGAGGAGGAAGGCTAGTAGAATACGGGACACCAAGAACCTGCTGAAGCAGGGGAACGAAGTACGGTCGCGGCCGTAAAGCGCCGCCAGGGTCAATAGCACTAGCTCCTCCAGCTCCAGCGCCTCCCGCGCCAGCTCCTCCAACTCCAGCTCCTCCAGCTCCATCGCCACCATCGCCAGAGTCTCCAACTCCAGCAGCTCCAGACTCCGTAGGGTCTCCAGCTCCAGCTCCCCCAACACCACCACTCCCGGCAGCTCCAGTACCCTGAGTACGAGCACCTCCAGGACCAGTAGTCGCAGCACCTCCAGGAACACCGGCTCCAGCAGTAACTCCAGCACCTCCAGCTCCGGTAGCTCCACTCCAAAGGCGTGCGCGCCAAACAAGCCACTCACGCAGCTGCTGCGGAGACAGTCTCGGCGAAGCACCAGCAGAACCTCCAGACAAAGCAGCACCCTGAGGCTTAGCACCCCCAGACTCCGCACCCTCCGACTCAGCACCCCCAGGCTCAACACCCTCAGGCTCAGCACCCCCAGGCTCAGCACCCCCAGGCTCAGCACCCCCAGTCTCAGCACCCCCAGACGCAGTACATCGAGCAACACCTGAGTCGACAGCTACCTCACCAGGCACAGCACCAGGGGGTGGGTCTACCTGAAAGACACCCGATGGAGCAGGACCCTGAGGAGGGAGGGG